TTTGAGACAGGGTTTTGATTGTTTCACCAAAACTAAAGTCTCGTGGATTCTGCAGGAGAATGAAGTTACTATAGCGTTCATGTTCCATAGTCCCAAGTTTTCTTAGAAGTATTCTGACTTTTGAGGCGTCATCAAGTCTGCAGAGATCAATATGGAACAAATCTTCATATTTCTTAAACCAAGAATCAAAAGTTACACCTGCTGCACCGTCAAAATTAAATCCATGAATTTGTAGCCTGCGTTCACCCGAAGATGCTAACATCGAACAAGAATCCTAAGCAAACTCGAACACTGCCCCAACATGACTGTAACGGAAAGAGAACGATGAAAATCCCTCCACAGCTTTTTTGTTGGACAGTACTGTCATTTATTTGTTTCTTCTCCATGTCGTATATTTTAACCTTTGCTCAGATCTCGTCTAACCACACCTTTTGTTCTTCAGTCTTCCTCGTCTGAGCTTTTATTACGTGATTTTGATTAAAGACTTATCTTTTGTTACCTAATTTTCTACTGCATGTTGCCACACTATTGACAGTAAGGTCGTGTTTGACTAAGCTCAAGGTCAAAGCGTGATTCACTGTGTGACTGTTAACCTTTTGACTGTCTGCTTGAGAGGATTTCTGGGATCCCTGCAGATAGATATTTGATTGCATTTTGTTGGGAATATTTTTATTTATTCTCAGGTATCGAACCCTTTGGCATTAACTGTTTCTTTTATTTTTCAGTGCGTTACTTTGAGTTAGAGAAACTTCTGGCTGTATAGCACAGGCTGTACCGTTTGAGGTATTTTGTATTTTTGATATAATTAGTTCTAGTTCTTAAATTAGAACCGTTAAAATTGAGCGTAGAGTTTGTGTTCTGATATAATTTAATACGAGTGTCTCAAAAACGGTTGGTAAGCTATACAGAAGAGCGTAGTCTGGCCTATTCGAATACATTTTGGTTCGTCAGTCCTGCGTTCAAACCGGATACTGGCAGTTCGGTCGTTACAATGACCCTGCAGGAAGTAACTACCGGATGCCAAGAGTTGGTGAATTTGAAGTATGACACCTCGATGGTAGAGAACGGTAACCGTTTCCCTAACGTCAATGCAGTCGAGAGAAAAGTCTCACAAGGTTCCAGCACGCATAATTGTCGTAATGACAGCGACAAACCATCATCTCCATGCTGGTCATGTGGAGGTTGGCACTATAAGAGGTTCTGCCCGTATAGAGAACATTGTTGCAGTAAATATCATCGGAAGGGCCATATAGAAACCATCTGCAGAAAAAGAAACCGTAAACGATATTTTGCAAAACCCTACTTCAAGAAATACAGGTCTGGCGCATTAACAAAAAGAATATTGGTGTCACATAACCAGACACGAAACTGTCACCAAAGAAAGTACGTAACCTTAGATATTAATAAACACCATACTCGCCTTCAGCTTGATACAGCTTCTGATATTACCCTAATCAGCCCAGAAACTTGGAGGAACATTGGGAGACCCATAGTTCTCCCAACAACACAACTGGCACACAGTGCATCTGGGGGGAAGTTGAATATTGTTGGAGAAGTGCCCTGCACTGTTTCTAAAGGTACTGTAACAACGAATACAACAGTATACCTTACAAAGAAGCCAGCACTCGACTTATTGGGGTTAGATCTTATAGAGACACTTAAACTAGCAGACCATTCTATTAACAGCACCTGCAGACGAATCAGAACTGACAACGCCTTAGAGTGGAACCAGAAAAATGCCGTGCTACAAAGACACCATAATGTGTTTAAAGAAGGATTGGGGGGATGTACGAAGGCCAAAGCATTGTTAACCCTAAAACCTGCAGCCACTCCCGTCTTTCGACCTAAAAGACCTGTACCTCATGCTGCTCTTCCAATAGTTGAACAAGAATTACAACGACTTCAGGAAATGGGTGTTATCGAACCTGTGAACTTCTCAAACTGGGCTGCACCAATAGTGGTGTTCACGAAGTGGAATGGAAGTGTCCGTCTATGTGCAGAGTACTCTACCGGAATAAATGAAGCTTTAGAGTTTCTCCAGTATCCGTTACCCTCACCGGAAATTCTTTTCGCTAAGCTGTGCGGTGTCAGATTTTTTGAGAAGTTGGACTTATCTGACGCGTATGTATAAATTCCGATATCTGATGAAAGCAAAGATCTGACGATCAACACCCACAAAGGTCTGTTCCGGTATAATCGACTACCTTTTGGGGTGAAGATGACGTCCTCTATTTTCTAGCAAATTAGAGTTACCATGTTACAAGGTATTCCAAGTGCTGCAGCTTAATTGGACGACATCATAATTATGGCAACAGACAAAATGGACGAGGTACTAGAACGCATAGTCGATTATGGTTTTCGCCTCCGAGCGAAAAATGTGACTGCTTTATGCAGCAATTACGGTACCTTGGGTTCATAATAGATCAAGATCGAAGACGACTAGATCCAGAGAACATTGAAGCTGTGAGAACAATGCCTAGGCCTTGGGACATTCCTGCCCTACGACCGTTCTTGGGACTGGTTAGCCATTATGGTACCTTCCTCCCCGATCTTCACCGTCTACATGCTCCACTTAACAACCTACTAGAAAAGAATACAAGATGGAATTGGTCGGCGGACTGCCAAGCGTTTTTCGTGAAAATCAAGCAACTCCTAACTTCCGATCTCCTACGGACGCATTATGATAATTCGCTACCAATAGTTGTTGCTTCAGATACTTCTAACTACGGTGTGGGCGCAGTCATCTCTCACATTTTTCCTAATGGGTCTGAAAAAGCTATCTCCCACGCTGCCAGATCTTTGACAACGACCGAAAGGAACTATAGTCAAATTGAGAAAGTATTTATTTATTTATTTATTTTAACACATAGATATCGGTACAAGGAGGCACCGAATACATATGCGCCACACAGATCTCATTTGATATGTGTGAGGGCTGTGATACTGCCCGGGTGCCCAAACCGAAACCCAAAAGAAGCCTCATCAATTATCTTTGCAGTGAAAAAGTTCCACATGGTGATATATAGTCGACATTTTACCCTAATAACAGACCATAAGCCACTACTTGCAGTTTTTGGGTCAAGGAAAGGAATTTTTGTTCATACAGCTAACCGACTGCAACGATGGGCAACCACACTTCTGGGTTACGATTTCAAGATCAAGTATCAGTTTACTACCGCCTTCGGGCAAGCTGACTCATTATCAAGATTAATAGCCTTACAACCAAAAACCCGAGGAGACTCGTGTAGCAAATATAAAAGCTGAGAATGGAGTTCATCGCGTATTGGATGACTCAATCAATGGACTCCCAGTAACCTTTGAAACTACCAAGAAAATCCCTGAAAGTGATAAGACATTGAGCACAGTTAAATGCTATCCCTCGACCAAATGGCCAAACAATCGCCTTGACGGAGAACTTTTGCAATATTTTCGTCGGCGGGACTTACTAAAGATTGTCGACTCGTGTATTATGTTCGGTGATCGAATTGTTATTCCGAAGTAATTACGTCACAAGGTTCTCAAGCAGTTTCACAGTGGCTGCCCTGGAATCAATAAAATGAAATCGTTGGCTCGTAGTTATGCTTATTGGCCGTCAATGGACAAAGATATCGAGAATAAATGCCGTAACTGTCCATCATGCATTTAAGCTGCTAAAAATCTTTTGAAATGCGAACCTCAGTATTGGCCAACGCCTGCAGCACCCTGGGTAAGACTTCACGCAGATTTTGCTGGTCCAATCCAAGGAAAAATGTTTCTAATTATCGTAGATGCATTTACTAAGTGGCCAGAAGTATATACCATGCCAAATTGTACAACATCAGAAACAGTCCACAAGTTGTCTACCGTGTTTAACCGCATTGGAGTTCCAGGGACCTTAGTAACTGATAATGGCTCGCAATTCATCTTAGAATCGTTTAAGTATTTCTGTAGCGCGAATGGAATAACTCATCTTTGTTCTCCGCCCTATCATCAGGAATCGAACGGACAAGCAGAACGTTTTGTGGACACTTTTAAACAAGTATTTCTGAAAGGGGGAGGCGAAGGAACAACTGGACAGATAATCACAACATTTTTAACATCCTACAAAACCACTCCGAGCCCAAATGTTCCAGATGGTAAATCTCCTGCTGAAGCCATGTTCGGAAGGCGTATTCTGACCGTTTTCAACGCCATGTTGCCATCCAAACTGGTAGATGGGCACAGTCACAATCCAAATATCCGAAGCTTTAATGTTGGCGACGAAGTTTTCATTAAATCTTAACCCGGGAAAAACCGATGAGAGCCGGGAAAAGTTGTACGAAAATTGGGAAGAGTTTTGTACAGAGTCCGAGGAACTTTTGGAACATGTATACGACATACAAATCAACTCCATAAAGACAAAAGAACGATGCAGACTCAAGATAACCAGCCGAATTTTTTATTAGAGTTTATCTTAGACGCACCAGCTTTACAAATGCCTAAGGACACTAAAAAGAAGCCTCGGACAAGGAAGACAACAAGAATAATGGGACGTCGCCGGAAACCATTTGTCAAGCTACAAGTGGGTCCTAGAACGAAATCTTATCCGGGGGAGGTGTTGAGTCGGCTTCCGAGAACTACAACGGAGCCTCCAGAGGCCCAAAAGAAGCTGAAGAGTTCCAGCAAATCAGAGCATAAGGGAGCTTTCTAGAATATTAACGTGGTATAATACTACTGGTCAGTAGCATAATATGTCTCTTAGCGGATTGGCCAAAATATAATGTTGATTTGACAAATGCGTAGTTCTAGCTTGGGGGTTACCAGAATAACTTAGGAACCGAATAAAGCGTTCAAATGAACAAGACTTATCAATCACAATAAACTACATTTATGGTAAAACAGTCAGACAGGAACATTACTTGCACTTATAACATTATTATAGTACACACTACACAATCTATTCTTCTGATTTATTGTTGAAGATTATTCCTTATCTATAGTTGGAAATGACGCCTTCTTCTCTAATTTGTTTTCTTTTATAGGAATTCATTGCTGTTAGTCAATTGAAAGGTTCAACACAAGGCAAAATTTTATGTTTTTGTGGTCCACCTGGAGTTGGTAAAACCAGTATAGCTAATTCAATAGCTCGTGCATTAAATAGAAAAGTTTGTCTTGTTTTTTTTTCTTGGTTTTTTATTATTATTAATGGCTGTATTCAATATTATAGTTTTTGGTAGAATATAGAGTTTTCAGCACAAAGTACTTCAATAAGTTTCTGTTTTTTTCTTATTATTATTATTTGAACACATAGATATTGGTACAAGGGGGCACCAGATACATATGTGCCACACAAATTTCATTTGGTTTGTGCGAGGTCTGTGATACTTCCCGGGTGTCCAAACCGAATCAGATGGTTTTCTTAAGTGGTCACACCCGGAGCCTTCAACCTAGAGGTGTGATCTACAAGGCAGTGACTTAGAATACACAGATGACATAGTCCTGTTTGGTGAAGACGCTGATGAAATGCAGAGTCTTTTGGTAGCACTGAGCAACAATGCCAGAATGTTTGGGATGCGCTTCTCTCCCTCTAAATGCAAGTTGTTGCTTCAGGACTGGTCTGCGTCAACACCTGAACTAAGGATAGGGGGTGACGTAGTTGAACGCGTCGACAACTTCACTTATTTAGAACAACATATATAAGCGAACAATATTGTTTTCGATTAGATCCTCATCAGGCTTTACTCTAATATACAGTAATGTATTTATATGCATATACGAAACTATTAAACCAATGAAGGTAGTTTATAAATCAATGATAACGATGAATAAAACGATTGCATAATATGTGAAAAGTACAAATAGATAGTGTGATGACAGGTGTACTAGTTTTTATAAGAATAATAAAGGCTCAACTCAATGTTACATAATCGGAAATAGGTGAATGATTAGAACAAATATAGATAGTGAGATAACATTTATAAAAATTATTATAAGATGATGTAATGAGAAGTGTTCAGTAATTGAACAGTGAAAAAATAAAAATAAAATAGTAGGAGGGAGTGAAGAAGAATTAATAAACAAAGAGAAGGTTTGAAAAGAAAATAATAAATAAATTCATTTATTAAGGCCAAGGGAGAGATAAGGGTGTTACAAATTTCTTCTGAACACAAAGACTCGGCTTGTTGGCTCGAATTCCTATAGCTTCTGCTATGTGTAAGAGACGAGATCGAACACCATAGGGAAAATTAGTGGGAATACGATAAATAACTTTAAATGACTTATTTCATGGAAGTCTGATCAGCCCTAATGGGTTGGTGTCTGAAGAAATGTCAGCACGGATTCGAAAAGCTCGTTTGGCCTTTGCCAACTTACGTCATCTATGGCGAAGGCGAGATATCCGTCTACAAATTAAGGGACGAGTATACTGCGCGACAGTTCGTTCCGTTCTACTATACGGCTGCGAAACTTGGCCTTTAAGAGTAGAAGATATTCGTAAGTTACTAGTATTTGACCACAGGTGCCTTGGAAATATTGCGAGTATCTGCTGGGATCACCGGGTAAGTAATAGTGAGGTTAGACGCAGGGTATTAGGAAATGATGGTAAATCAGTTGATGAGGTTATGAATCTTCATCGACTGAGATGGTTAGGCCACGTGCTGCGTATGCCTGAACACCGATTACCACGGCGCGCAATGGTAACCGGTGTTAGGGATGATTGGAAGAAAGTTAGAGGCGGCCAAACCAAAACGTGGCATCAGTGCTTGAAGTCACTAACTTCTGGTCTGAGCCATGTTGGTAGATGCAGACTACCTGGTTGGGGTCCGCGTGACTATCGTAACCAATGGTTGGAGACTCTAGGTGACATGGCTCAGAATCGATCACAATGGCGTCGGTGTATTCACTCTCTATCTTCCTTTAAACTAAGAGATTAAAATCACTTCAAATCTTTCTTTCTACGAACTAATTCTTTCTTCCTGTACTATCTTCTTATATGCAATCTTTCTTCTATATATTACCACCACTGAATTAGCTACTATGAATCCGGTGTTCATCTTGTTGTGCTAATGCGGTATGGCAACTTGGACCAATGCATATACGTGCCTGGTCCTACGTTGCAGCTGACTGACTGCATCGTAAGGAGATGCAGTCCCATGTTAGTCGTTGAGCAACGGTTGGTTCATACGCCATTTGTTATTTCAGGATACTGAAGCCCATGTGCATCAATGGTTCGGAATCAGGGTTTTCTAAACCCCCCCAGGTGGATCCTCCGTAACCACCAACCCGGTTGAGGCGCCGTACATTTGCTTTTTGTCTTCTCAATTTTGTAAACAAAACCCCCGCCTCGAGACGACAGTGAGTAAGACTTCTCTGTCAGTGACTGTATACGCGTGGAGATGGAGAGCTGACTCCTCTCACCCTTAAATGTACCAGTCCATTTTGGGGGCATTTAAGTTTGAACACACTACTACTAGACCAGGTATATTATGCGAGTTCCACTCGAGTCGACTGGTTGAGTTGTAATATATATATATATATATATATATATATATATATATATATATATATATATATATATATATATATATATATATAGCCGTGTTCGATTATTCAATTCATGAATTACAATAAAACCGTAGATATGTAAATAGATTAAAGGTGATGTTCTTTTTATGAAAAGAATGAATACCTGGAAATTTTTGTTGTTTGTAGTTTCATGGAATGGTTACAGTCATTTTACATGAAGTAAAAATTCAGTAATCATTAACGTTCAATGTTATAAGTGTGTGTTTGTCAAAGTTGTCACAGATCGCTTCTATAAAGGAGCTATCTTTTGCCTACCTATAATTTTCTTTCAACCTACTCCTTGTATTACGATTAATGAGTGGTTTATCATGAATAATATCTCTCTTAACCATGTAGTCCATCTGCCATTTCAACATTACCACCCACTTGTTCCAACAAATGCGAGGAATCATTCGAAGACATTTGTGACCAAGTACTTGCGATTTAAGATTATCTCACGGACCCCAACTAAATAAGTCTTCATCATTAGGGATGCCTTAGGCTGATATTTGATGCTAATGCCACATACTTCTCCTACGCAACGCATCATTGCGCGTCAACGTATCCCCAAATTCGGTATTTAAACATATATCCCTATTATTACAGCTAATGAAAGTTCATAGCCTCCAAAACTAATTTGTCATTGTTCCTTCCCACTAGCCTACATTTTAAATTCAACGTTACTCTATTTTATGGTTCCATCATATTCATTATCTATGCACTAACATAAAATATTGTCTCTTTCTCTCTCTCTCTCTCTTTTTTTTCTTTTCTTTTCTATAGTATTTTCGTTTTTCTGTCGGTGGAATGTCTGATGTATCTGAAATCAAAGGTCATAGACGTACTTATGTTGGTGCTATGCCTGGGAAAATTATTCAATGTCTTAAAAAAACTAAAACTGAAAATCCACTCATTTTAATCGATGAAGTAGGTTTTGTTTTTCTTCATTCCTGTTTATATATGTGTATGTATACATATACATGTATATATGATACTATTTATACATATTAATCACTTGGTAATATACATTTTACGTATCTAATTATGGGCAAACTATGGTTAATGGAATTTTTTTTTAAATATACATAGAAATGGGCAATAACATTTCAAAATATCTTGAGGGGGTGGGGTGAGATATAACTCTTTTTTTTTCCAGAAATTTTCGAAAAATACCTTTTTTTGATATACCGTTGGTGTATATTGATTCCGCACTAGTTTGCAGTCTCATTATCGGTTTAATTACCTGTCTAATTGTTATAATTTGTGGCCTGAGCGCCCTGTTAATGTATACGTAAGAATGCAATGAATTATCGACCCGACCAATGATGCGTTAAACCCGTACGAGCAGTCTAGAGTACTTATCGATCCTGCTTCCTGCCTAACCCAACCAGTTAAGTTCACAACACTAATCTGAGCCTCTGTGATATGAATCATGTATTTCAAACACACAGGGTTTATATTACCAACCAGACAGACCATATCATACTATAAAATAAGAAACAACATTTGTACAAGATCTAATCAAATGTGGCTGTGAATGTGGGAGGTAGTAATTGATAGACAGGGCATAATTTAAGAATGCTGAATCGTATCATAATAATTCATATGTCAAAATAAAGCTTATAATAAGAGGAATATGAATGTGAACGGTTTAGTTACTTGACAACTATATGATAAAAATATATGCATAGTATTGATCCATAAATTGATCGCAAAAGTTACCATTCATTATGCTTATCGGGACATAACACTAATAATCTTCAGTGATATTTCATCTAAGACCAATCCATGGTGAATATCACTTTCATATATAAATCTTCAAAAAGACCTTACATCAATAACTATACACACACATTCATTAAAGTAACGTTTCTACCTAGTCTCTCACATGGTCACGCGTATATAGCCTCTGCCAGGAAAGTCCTACTCACTGCCTTCTCGCACCACGGGTGTTGTTTACGAAAATGAGAGGACGAAAGGTGAATGTCCGGCGCTTTAACCGGATCCAAACCAATGGTGCACATTGGCTCCAGTATCCTGAAGGAACAAATGGTGTATGAACTAATCGTTGGTCACCGGCTACCATGGGACTGCATCTCCTTACGATACTCCACTGCCTTGTGGATCAGACGTTCAGGTCGAAGGCTCGGGGTGTGGCCCCCAAGAAAACCACCTGCTTCGGTTTTGGCACCCGAGCAGTAGCACAGCCCTCACACATATCAAATGAAATTTGTGTGGCGCATATGTATTTGGTGCCTCCTTGTACCGATATCTATGTGTTAAAGTAAATATGAATATGATATAAAAAATGAGGAATACAGTTGATTGTACCCTCTATGAACGGTGATACCATGTGGAATAATCGATAAGTACGTATGGAAATATATGGTTCTGTTCTTGAGAATTAGACACTTAATTTCCAAACTTCAGATCGTCGAAAAAAAACTTCATCGGTTTGATTTAAAAATTTATTAGAAAAAAACTAGTGGTAAAAACAATACGTTTTCCTTTGATTTTCTGCGAAATATTCTGATGTATTATGACAATCAGAGATCGGTTATATGATAAGTGCTTGTGATTGACTAGGGAATAATTCATATTTCTAAGCTATAAGGCATACATCATTACTCCCGAAATGCCCTGGTACGGTCGAGGGTGGAGAGAGAGAGAGATCCAGACCTTTAGATCGAAGGGTCCGGGTTTGACCCCCTAAGAAAAACACCTGGTTCGATCTGAGCACACAGGTAGTATCATAGCCCAAACACAAATCAAGTAACTTGTGTGGGGCATATGTATTCGGTGCCCTATTGTCAATAAACTTTTCCTCATATCTCCAGTCTTTTCTTTCGAGTTACCGATAAAGGTTGTATACAGAAAGATTGTATATCAGCACCAAAATTGGATACGTACGATACGTACATTTTCCACAATAAATCAGTTTCGGCTTGATTTTTCCTTCATTTTAATGATTGTCATCGTTTCATGTTCATTGTATTTCTGTACATATTATAGATCGATAAATTAGGTCGTGGATGGCAAGGTGATCCAGCTAGTGCTTTATTAGAGCTACTTGATCCAGAACAAAATGTTAATTTCCTCGATCATTATCTTGATGTTACAGTAGATTTAAGTCGTGTATTATTCATTACAACAGCAAATCAATTAGATACAATTCCAGAACCATTAAGAGATCGTATGGAAGTAATTGAAGTATCCGGTTATGTTGAAGAAGAAAAATTAGCAATTGCAAAAGTGAGTTCTTTTATTCATTATAAAAATCAATTAAAATTATAATACAGTCATTCATAAATTGCATAAACTTAGACATAAGCGATTCTCTCCCTCGAAATGCAAAATTTTACTTCAGGATTGTGTTGCATCGACACCCGAACTATTGATAGAGAGTGAAGTGGTTGAGCGTGTCGACCGCTTCACTTATCTGGGAAGTCTCATCATGCCTTGTGGTCTGGTGTGTGACGAAATCTCAACACGGATACAGAAGGCTCGACTAGATTTTGCCAACTTCCGTCATTTATGGCGTAGGCGAGATATCCGTCTACTAACCAAAGAACGGGTGTATCGCGCAGCAGTTCGTTCCGTCCTACTTTATGGCAGTGAAACATGGCCAGTAAGAGTAGAGGATATTCGTAGGTTACCAGTATTTGACCATAGGTGTCTTCGAAACATCGCTCGTATATCCTGGGACCACCGAGTAAATAATGCAGTTGTTATGAAACGGGTACTAGGTAAGGATGGCAAATCAATTGAGGAAGTAGTGAAACTTAATCAGTTGAAATGGCTGGGACATGTGTTGCGCATGCCCGACCACCGACTGCCCCGACGTGCTATGTTTTATGGTGTAGGAGTAGGTTGGAAGAAAGCTAGGGGCGGCCAGACCAAAACATGGCATAAATCCATGAAGTCACTGACAAGTGGATTGAGTCATGTTGGTAGGTGTAGACTACCTGGTTGGGGACCGCGAGCTGATAGCAACCGATGGTTAGAGACCTTGAATGACATGGCTGAAAATCGTTTGCAATAGTGCAGGTGCATCCACTCTTTGTGTTCTCTCAAACTCTAATCTTCTGAATTCTTCATGTCCCTTTCTTTTTTCTTCTCTTTCCAAATTTATTTCAGTGGATTATACTCCTTGAATAACATCTACAAAGCCTAATGTTTCCGATTACTGCTTATACTTTCACTACTTCTAGCACTACGGGATTTCAATCAACGATTGTATCTGTGTGCTAATTTGGTATGGCAACTCGAACTAATGTACGTACGTACGAAGTTCCACATTGTTGCTGACTGTCTGACTAAATCAATATGGTAGTTAGTCCTATGTATAGCAAGTGACATATCATATTGTACTTGGACTATACACATTTCTTAATTGGTACGGTTTTGAGTAATAAATAATTAGACTTGATTATAAGTTAAATTCAAAGTAGGTGAGTCAACCATACCACTCAGTTGACGAACTTGAATTAGGTAGATCGGGGCTCGAGATTGAGAATTAATGACGAAAAGTGGTACTTCCTAACCACTAAGCAACCTCTTTACTTATAGCGAGTAAACGACTACTAGATCACGAAAATGTCCCTACACATTCAACAATGATTGTCCATATGTTTCCAATCAGCATCCAATATTATCCTCTCTGATTTTCATTTAATGTCCTGTCGTCACGAAAATTCAAAATAGTATTATGAGAATACCTGCAACAAGACAATACAAAGATAATGAAATGTAAAACAATGAGGCAATTAAATAGGGTTGACTTATGCAACTATCCCTTAATGTCTTGAACTATAGGATACTACTGTAGTGTCGCAAATGAGGACGGGGAGTGAGCACTATGTGAAGGGGATACAATTGATGTATTCAACATTTTTTCAAACAAAACTTTTATGAGGAAATTCCATAGATTAGACAGACTTACTTACTTACGCCTGTTACTCCTCGTGAAGGAGCATAGGCTGCTCACCAGTATTCTCTATCCAATCCTATCCTGGGCAATCCTTTCCAGTTGTTACTCATCCATTTCATATCTGCTTCTATTTCCCGACTTAATATGTTCTTTGGCCCTCCTCTGTTCCGCTTCCCTTCACGATTCCAAGTTAGAGCTTACCTCGTAATGCAGTTTGACGATTTGTGTAATGTATATCCTATCCATTTCCATCGTCTTTTCCTAATTTCCTCTTTAGCTGGAAGCTAGTTTGTTCTCTCCCACAGAAGGCTGTTGCTGATGGTATCAGGCCAATGGATGTTGAGTATCTTGCGTAGACAACTATTTATAAATACTTGCATCTTCTTGATGATGGTTGTAGTAGTTCTCCAAGTTTCAGCTCCATATAGTAGAATTAACTGTGTTGACGTTGGTATTGAAGATTCTGACTTTGATATTGGTTGAAAGTTGTTTCGAGTTCCATATGTTCTTCAATTGAAGGAATGCAGCCCTTGCTTTGCCAATCCTCGCCTTTATGTCTCCATCTGAACCTCCTTGTTCATCAATGATTCTTCCATTAGACCGACTATTACTTTAAATTGGTTGACTTTTGTATTTAAATGCTAAAATAAAAAGTATGAAGTATTGTGTTGAACAAGTAGATAACAGAGCGGTTTACTTTATTTATTATATTTTATTTTATTTTAACACATAAGTATAGGTACAGGGAGGCACCAAATACATATGCGCCACACAAATCTCAATTGATTTGTGTGAGGGCTGTGATACTGCCTGGGTGCCCAAACCGAACCAGGTGGTTTTCTTAGGGGGGCCACACCCCGAGCCTTTGACCTGAACGTCTGACCCACAAGGCAGTGGAGCATCGTGAGGAGATGCAGTCCCATGGTAGCCGGTGACCAACGATTGGTTCATACACCATTTGTTCCCGCAGGATACTGGAGCCCAATGTGCACCATTGGTTTGGGATCCGGTTAAAGCGCCAGACATTCGCTTTTCGTCCTCTCATTTTTGTAAACAACACCCGTAGTGCGAGAAGGCAGTGAGTAGGACTTCCCTAGCAGAGGCTATATACGCATGGCCATGTGAGAGCATTTCGAGAGGGAGAGCGGACTCTCCCCACTCTCGGCCGTACCAGGGCATTTGGGGGCGAGCGGTTCACTAAATGATACTAAGTAATCGTCTAGTTATACGCAACATAGAACTCGACCCATATGTTTGCATCTAGTTACAAACAATGAGTTTCTTAATTAAGTGACAATAATTTATTCGTATTAATTTTTTATGGAAAACAGATGATCATGAAAAAAAAAAAACAAGAATAAGTAGAATTCAGTGAAGAGGATTTTCTTGTCAACGAAGTTATTTACTTAAGCTGTACATTGGTATTTAGACGTATCTGGTAAACGTTTATGTCTATAGAAGAACTATGTTTTCAACAATTTGATTTCTCACTGAAATCACGAATCGATTACCATTAAAAAGCTTGAAGCACTGGATAGCCTCTTTGTTCTATACAAGGTTCTTCAGTAGTGTTTATTCATGATCCTGTTTACGGACTCGAATCCAATACCTCCTGTTTCACATGCGAACGCTCAACCTTTAGACTACCGAATCAGGATCCAACGGTTTACCTACCTAACTTCAATCAATCCACGACCATCTTTCATTGTCTTCGTTAGGTAACTACGTCACACTGGACACGGATTTGCTCCACTGGATATTGGTTCAGTGGTCTGGAGGTTAAGTGTTCTTGCACAAGACTGAAGGTCCTACATTCAACTTCCAATCACTTGATCGTGTACACGTATTATTGAGGAGTCCTACTCATTGCTTGGAGGTTTTCAATGGTAGTCTAATTTAGATCGGTGCATGATTTCAATGAAATTCAACACTCTCCACATTCCTGTACTGAAATTTGACTATAGATAAGAATTAGTACTTAAAATGTCTATCATTCGTATGTAGTTTTCATTTTCTTCATTGTGTATTATACATAAGTAAACTGATACTACATTATATCCAATTGTATCGGTCTAAGGTTACTTCTCTATAGTAATATAAGAATATCAATATTGTTATGCAATAACAAGTCTTTTATTACGTTCATAATCTCTAAGTTCAATAGTTTAAATATGTAGCCTTGGAGTATAATTCTGGACAATATCACATAATGTAATCACTATTTACTATTGAAAACGACAACAACAAACACCTCCAGAACTGCATTATTTTAAACTTTCTTTTTTATGTCTACAGCGTTATCTTCTTCCATTGGCTACTCGAAATTGTGGTCTAGATGATAATCGTCTTTTAATCGATGATAATGCAATAAAACGTTTAATTAAACAATATTGTCGTGAAAGTGGTGTACGTAATCTACAAAAGCATATTGAAAAAGTAAGTCTAGTCGATATAATAAATATTTTAATTGTAGTTTCAACTTATACTAAGTCCCAAACTCGAACCCTACTTGCTTCATCTACTTCAGGTAGTATTATAGTAAACAGAATACGGGTGGGGACAATCAAATATCAAAATGTCGAGTCACACTCGTCCCCCATTTGAAGCAGTCGTTCTTGAGGTGGTTCATCCTCGCCGTGCAACATTCTTCTTTTCTGCAGTCTGTGCTACGCCCTCCGTCAAAATGTCGAGTCTGCGGGGCGCTGACCTCCATAGCTCTTTCGACCTGCCGCAGCACCAATATCCGACACCCACCCGGCACCTGAGACATTTAACACCCGTACTCCACCGGCCTGCTGAGTCATCTACATCCGATGTCCGCCCAGCAGTCGCACGTCCCACCGCTCCTCTCCGTCGACAGCACCGCCACAGCCAACGCCGCCCCGCCAGAACACTCCACTAGACGCCATCTCTTCACGTCAGACTGCCCCAACCGTCACTTCAGCTCCAGGCCCGCAACGGCGTCCGCAGAACAGCACCCTTCCCCCCTCCTAGTTGGCAGCGACACAAAATGTGGTGATCAGAACACGAGTGGAGACAATGGGATGTATTTGACACAAAATTACAGGGCTTGTTAATAAAATCTAACAATCATATAGTAAATGTTTAATTTGCAAACTATCCATTCATTGCCTTAAAATGACTCAGACTTCCTTTGTTTTTGCATTTTCATGCTGCCAGACATTCTGTTTACGACTAACATCATATATTACTTATGTCGATATAAGTAGCACACACAACAGTATTACTAGTTATCAAATTTGGAATTGGACTAAAAGCTAAGTATATAGATTAACACCTAGTAAATGGATTAATTGTAATGGCTACTGACTAGTCGACTAGTTGTAGATGGAACAATAATCACTTTCATAATTAAGTGACCACAAGTTAACTGTCTATAACACTCTATTCAGTTAATTCTCTAAATATCAACTATAGAATATCAGCCTTCAATCACATTATCATCAGTTGTTGAAAATGGTGTCTATCGTATTTTAACATCAGACATTCGTAGAATTTCAATTCAGGCTCTATTCATTAAATCAGCATTAAAATGTAACACTCTGAAGCCATATGATGCGGGTTCGAATCTTTCAAGGAGTATTAGTTCCCTTGAAAGTTCAAGAATACTTTGTTTATGAGTTTTAACTGGCAGGAAACTTAGGTCAAGGAGTACTGCCTGTCGACTACCTCTAACCATCTGATATTGTCTAAATTATCTAACTATTCATAATGTTTTTTTCTGCGTATCGTAACTATTAGTTACATGAGATGTGAAATATTCTATGGTCAATGTCTAATTTTTAAGTGTACGAGAATCTATGCTGTTACTTTCTCGATCCCGTTTTTTCAAATGATTTAGTCTGTGGTAATATAAACATTAGAATCGATTTAGCTCTGTCATGACTAGGAGTTTAATTGATTTCCATGAGTTTACTTCATACGGAGCGTCTGGTTATTGATTAATATTTTGTTTTCATTTATTTATTCAAACATAAACATTGATACAAAGGGACACCATAATGTATATGCGTTACACAAAGCAGTTGGTTCTCTTAGAGAGTCACTCCCCAAGCCTTTGATTCAAAGGTCTAGTCTACAAGGCAGTGGGACAACGTTAGGAGATGCAGTTTCATGGTCATTTATTGCCTCAGGATCATAGAGCCTATGTGCACTATTGGTCTGGAGTCAGGGTTTTCCAACTCCCCTTAGCGGATGGATGCTTCGTACCCATTGACCTGGTTTAAGCCCACATCAGACATTCGCTTTTCATCCTCTGAATTTCATAAATAACAACACGCGTGATCATATGAGAGTATTTTGGAGAGGGAGAGCAAACTCTTTCCATCCTCGGCTATACCAATGTATTTGGGGTTGGGTGTTGTTAAGTATGCCTATCCTCAAAAATCTAACAGAGTCAACATTTGATCAGTGCATACAAGGTCATATGTGGAAACAACTTGGTTTTCCCTAGTTTTTTGTTCCCTCATTTCATACAAGCGTCACATAAGTATTGAGGCTAATAATTTAGGTATTATATGTTAGTCAAACTGATTCTTCTATGGTTATCGCGTCCAAATGCCCTGGTACGACTGAGAGTGGGAAGAGTCCGCTCTCCTCGAAATGCTCGCACGTGGCCGTGCGTATATAGCCTCTGCCAGGGAAGTCCTACTCACTGCCTTCTCGCACCACGGGTGTTGTTTACGAAGATGAGAGGACGAAAAGCGAATGTCCGGCTCTTTAACCGGATCCCAAATCAATGGTGCACATGGGCTGGCTCCAGTATCCTGAAGGAACAAATGGCGTATGAACCAATCGTTGGTCACCGGCTACCATGCGATCGCATCTCCTTACGATGCTCCACTGCCTTGTGGATCAGATCTTCAGCTCGAAGGCTCGGGGTGTGGCTCTGTAAGAAAACCACCTGCTTCGGTTTTGGCACCCGAGCAGTATCACAGCCCTCACACATATCGAATGAGATATGTGTGGCGCATATGTATTTGGTGCCTCCTTGTACCAATATCTATGTGTTAAAATAATTAAACTCTATGGTTATCACAGAATATGTTAGTCCTTCCCTATGAAACTGGAACAATCAGTGATTGAATCAAAACAGATAGAATTAAATAATACATAACTCTAACTGGGTATCTCAGTCAGCTTAACTATTAAAATCTGAACTAACTTCTTTTAAGATCATATTAGTCCATTGAATATCTCAATAAAAGAACTAGCAAAAGACTTTACTCTATAATGGTAGATATATATATATATATATATATATATATATATATATATATATATATACATGTGTCTACTTGAATAAGTTCAATCATAACAAATAGCATATCAACCTTTAATTTATTTCCATTTGATTACGTAATAATGATACGTTTATTATCATTACATCATATATATATATAAGTTTGTTCCCATGACATGGACGTTGTTTAACCAATCTACCTGATACACATTATTTGTACATTTTTTTACTGTAAGATAAAAGAAAAAGAGATTTAACCAACATTATTTGTTTATATTCCATGATTTCTACTATTATAGATAGTCACTACTTTTTCTTTGCTTTCCCAAAGTTTTATGCATTTGTTTGGTTTCTAATGGTAGGTTTTTTCGTGTGTGTGTGTGTGTGTGTGTGTAAGTATGTACGTATCTATGTATGTGCATACACAAATTTACACATATATAACAGTAATGAATTAGTGTTAGTCACGTAGTTGACTACTTTGACTCAATGATCGAGCTTTACATATACATGTATATTATGATAACTTAATCAGTTTATATTTTCTGGAATAGTTGTTCCTTTAGAGTCTTATTATACTAGACAGATAGATTGAAGAACAGTTAGACTAAAAGCAATAACTTTTCATAACATAGTGAAGTGGTTAGAAGAGATCGATCCTTAAAAAAAATATAGGATACTGGCTTGCCTTATATATTTTAGTTAGTAATAGTGTGATCTTTATGGTAAGGAACGAATACATGTAAAATATCTGTCAAAGACAATATTGAGACCGCCCTCGAACATTTGACAATTGCTCTCTGTAGTTACACTTCCAGTTAATCAAGACCACATCTAACCTAGTTCTTTTTTCTCATACCTCGAAAAGATGAGTGGGTGATGACCAGGAAAGGACAAATCTCTATCATACGACATTCGAAATAAACTAATGTACTATGACTGTTAATATAAATTTAAAGACTGAAAGTGTGTTTTAGGTTTCTGCATTACATCATCTTAGATATTTCTTCCAATGATTAATTGCATATGTTGGAATTTTTAAAATTTTTCAAACTTCTGACCTGTTCAAAGCGTGGGCTTTCCATTTTCTAACTTGGCAAATATTACAACTAATCGTTGTGCTTTAGACTTGTTCAAGTTGATGAATTATGAAAGCTAATTACATGTATCTATGGTCTAGTCAACGTCAGTGCCCCTTGTTGAGAACCATAGAATATGAAGTAGTCGAGCATGTTAATCAACTTCCTTACATTGAAAGTTTTCTCAACTCCGATACCCTGATTCCTGACTTAATTTTAGTGTACTTATGTGGTATGTCCAAAATTCTACACTTTTTTTATTGATGACTGAGGATTAATTCTCACTGAAAAAAATTGAACTTGTTCCCCAGGCACTTAGATGTGAGTCACTCTTTAAGTGTAAGGGATAATTATGCTACCTGGTTACCCAAACCTAAATAGGTGGAGCAGGGTTCGAACTTTGAACTTAGCGGCTGAAAATCATACGTCTTATCCACTAATTGTCATGTTTAAAGTAGGACAATCATATGCAGACATCATCAATATGAAGTCTGGAACCAATTAAAATGAAATTGTCATTATATTAGCTCACCTACCCTATTATTATTTCATTTTTCATTATTCTTACATAGATTGTTCGTAAAGTTGCTTATCAATTAGTCAATGCTGAGAAAGATCCACCAATTCTAGTCAATAGTGATAACTTAACCACATATGTTGGTCAACCAATTTGGACATCAGATCGTTTGTATGATTCTATCACACCACCTGGGGTTGTTATGGGTTTAGCTTGGACATCAATGGGTGGTTCTGTTCTATATATTGAATGTACTAATAAAAAACCGAAATATTTCTACCAACCTACCAATACTACTGATTCACATAGTGATAGTAGTAGTGATTCAGAGGAAGTATCTAATAAAAAAGGTTCGTTTAGTGAGTTTTCCTACTTATTAACTGATAATAATCGGTAGTATTTATCCACTGATTTTAACTTGATTTCTAGATGGCTTGTTCTAATCTCGCTATTCCTCAGAAATCCTCACATGCTAGAAGACTGTGGAACTTATGACTTAAAGATCCTTTTGCGAATGAATTATGCTAAAACGATTAAGTTAATATCTAGTGTTACACAATTTTAACTTTAATCAATTAGCGTATATTATGTAACCATCATTTTTAGTAGGATGTGTCGAGATCTATATCAACTTCCCAAGAGGCTGATGAAACTTCCATGATGAGTAACGTGATCAATGTTCTCTATAGCTTTTTTGTTTCTAATCCAACCAAGTTTTCACAGAGACTAGTGTAATAAAAAAGACCTATCCTAAAAATAGTCAATAGTCTAGTCTTACAGGTTAGTTTTTAGAGTTCTGATTCTCTTAAAACGTTGATCGTCATTCTTGTGTATAACATAATCTATTTAAGCAAAGATGGATAGTGGCTAGCAGTGGAATGCAGAACAAAGCGCGTTTCGTCCTATTTGGGATTCGTCAACTGGATGTACCTGCCACGTCCCAGAGTTGATGTTCACTCTGGTACTCGAACTCAGTACCGTTTGTTTCAAACGACATCGCGCTATTCACTTAGCTACTGAGTCCTGATAGCCACTTCCTTGTGCAATGGGGTGAAGTTTAAGTTCACTTGATATTGTTTACATGAATCTTCTTCCCATTGATGCTTAGGACTGTTCGGAATGTCTCGATATAACCTGTTCACATTAATTTCAGAAAATTTTAGCTTCCCATCATTTCTGTTGGTAATTTGTAACATCTAACATGCTAAGTCCCTTTTTTCCCATTTGGGTTTTGATGGCAAACACACCGATCTTTAAAAAATCTTATTTTATTGTGTACATTTCATAGGGATTTTACAAGTAACTGGAAGTTTAGGAAAAGTTATGAAAGAGTCCATATCTATCGCACACACATTTGCTACACAATTTGCTGCTTCTGGTGCTCCATGCTCTTCTACAACTGCTGTTACTAATGATGATGGTAATGCTGGTAATAATAATAATAATCAAGAACAGTGTATGCTTAATCCAACGGAATCTTCAAAAGCAGCTTTATTCCTTCAAGAATCTGATATTCACTTACATGTTCCTCAAGGAGCTACACCTAAGGTTAGTGTATTATTTATTTATTTATTGTATTTTAAGTAAGACTGACGAGTTTGATCAATCAGATATACACTAAAAGATTAGTGTGACATTATTTTCTGAGGGAATGGGGTATACATTTATGAGTGTACATGTATTGATGAACCAAACGACATAATTCTATTTAATGAAGACTCCTTACGTAACAATGTTAGCATGTTTGTGATGCATTTCTCTTCCTCCAAATGCAAAATATTACTTCAGGAGTGATCGACATCAACTCCTGTTCTAGTGATAGGTAGTAAAATTGTTGAGTGTGTTAGCTACTTTAATTATCCTAGAAGGTTCAGTCCTGGTTGTTTGATGTGTGACGGAAGCTCAGTTGGCTTTTTGCCAAGTTGCATCACTTATGCTACACGTCAGATGAACGTCTACCAACGAAAGGGAGTGAATACTGCTCAGCAGTGTTTTACTCTATGGATGTGAAACACGGTCTATAAAAGTTAGCGATATGCTTAGATAGGAAATTTTTGATCATAGGTGTTTTCGAAGCATTGCTTGCGTTTCATAGAATCACGAAATAAGGATTGTTGAGGTTTAACATCGGGATACTACGAAAAAGTGATGAATCGGTTAACAAGGTAGTGAATCTTCATCAGCTGAGGTGTTTATGAAATTCGTTGCGTATGTCTAACGATGGAGTCACCAAGTTGACAGTTGTAGACTACTTGGTTGGTGTTTGTTATAGACTCTGAGTAACATGATTCAAAATCATTCACTCCTGGATTTCCAATTCTAGTATCCTTGCATATGTGCCTTCCCACTTCGTCTTCTTAAAGCATATTCCCATTGTTTAGTCTTTTTATTACTGCTACTACATTATTTTGATCTCTTCCGTTACTTGCGTTTCATCGGGCTAATTAGATATTGGAGCTTGGTATCTACCTGGTATATAATCCTTATTCAATTTTCAATCCATGAAGCTTCCTCCTCACTCTCAAAGTTTTTTCCACTCAAGTTGTTGGTTCAGATTTGAACATGAAAAACTTATATGTCCGTATCAGCCTCGGACGGAGCGCACAATATAACAGGCAGTCGTTTATTGTTTCGCATTTTGTACAGTTTACAATCATACTTCCTCCACTTACCCCTCCTCCTTTGTTATTGTTATTATCCTTTGTACATTTTCCTATTCATTATTACTAGGATGGTCCATCCGCTGGAGTAACTATGGTAACGGCTTTGTTAAGTTTAGCATGTGGTAAACCGGTTCGTCCTAATCTAGCTATGACTGGTGAAATAAGTTTAACTGGTAAAGTTCTACCAGTTGGTGGTATCAAGGAGAAAGTTATCGCAGTAAGTTATTTACTTCCTCATAATATGATAATTTTTGAAATTTTATTTGAAACGGTATATATGGTAGTATTGGTTTTGACCCCCAAATGCTCTCACGGTCACATGTATACAGCCACTTCAAGGGAATTTTGTTGGTGGACCCTCCGTCTCCACCTAGGGGAGTTGGAAAACCCTGATTCCAAACCAATTGTGCATACTGGCTTTAGGAGCATGAGGGGACAAATGGTGTATGAACCTGTTGTAGGTCACCGGCTACTACAGTACCGCATCTCCTAACGTTGCTCTACTGCCTTGTGAATTAGACCTATAGATCAAAGTCCCGGGTAGTGGCCCCCTGAGAAAACCATCTGGTTCGGTTTGAACACCCGAGAAGTATTTCAGCCCTCACGCAAACCGGATGATTTGTATGGCACACATATATTTGGTATCTTCTCGTACCAATATTTATTTGCTCAAATAAATAAAAAGTATTGATTTGTAAACCGGTTAACGAACTAATACAAAGGATGGTGACCACTCCAATATCAGCCAAATGGTTGACCTCATGCAAATGAATAAGATGTTGTTCTCCCCAAATGCCCTGGTACGGCCGAGAGTAAGGAGAGTCCGCTCTCCCTTTCGAAAAATGCTCTCACATGGTCACGCGTATATAGCCTCTGCCAGGGAAGTCCTACTCAATGCCTTCTCGTGGCACCGGTGTTGTTTACGAAAATGAGAGGACGAAAAGCGAGTATCCGACGCTTTAACCGGATCCCAATTCAATGGTGCACATGGGCTGGCTCCAGTATCCTGCGGGAACAAATGGCGTACGAACCAACTTTTGGTCACCGGCTTCCATGGGACTGCATCTCCTCATGATGCTCCACTACCTTGTGGACTAGACTCTTAGGTCAAAGGCTCGGGCTGTGGCCCCCTAAGAAAAGCACCTGCTTCGGTTTGGGCACCCGTGCAGTATCTCAGCCCACGCACTAAAATCATGATGAACTATTTGCTTATGGAAATAACACAAAAACTACTCATGAAAAGGTCGTGTGTGACCGACCTCAAGCAGCTGTACCTTTGGCACTGCAGTCACGCTCTCAGGTCACTATGACCACCTCTAATCCACTTTCCTTTTTATGTACCTCCAGAAAAACCCTTCCACGGTGTGGGCAACCGGGAAGTGATAACCGCCCTTATACCTCAAACAGCACTCAAGACCACTGTATTCATAATCAACCTGACTGACTGACTGACATTCTAAACCATATCACTCACCACTTTCAACCATTGATCACAGTTTTCTGCCTTTATGAAATACCTTGAAAGGTTCTGATATACATATATATGTATATCACCTATCGTACTTCATCTCTACAGGAGACAAATGACAAATAACGATATCTTACTTATTCAATTAGTTGTTAGGATATTCAACTTGCAATGAATAACCTGTAAGTTCGAATCCCATTCTGTCTAATTCAATTATAAGTAATATAATGATTCACTCTCTCAATTATTTTTTTTGTGTCTTTTATTCAATAACAGGCTAAACGTGGTGGTATAACCTGTATCATTCTACCTGAGGCAAATCGTAAAGATTATGATGATTTAGCATCATTTATTAAAGATGATTTACAAGTATATTTTGTTCAACATTATAAAGAAATTTTCCCAGTGGCATTTTCATAAACTTAAAAATAAAAAAAAAAGTATAAAGTTAAAATCGATAATACAAAGTTGAAAAACGAAAGGAGATGTGGGTTGGTTTTTTTTGTTGCTAACAGACAATAAGAAGGATGGAGTGTGTGTGTGTGTGTGTGCGTGAGATGGAGTGTGTGTGTGTGTGAGGGAGGGAGAGACAGAAAACGTGTGCAAAACTTCATTTCTAATTTTGTATAAATAAAATTTCCCATCATAAATGAATAAATTCTTTCTTATATAAAGAATGTGAACATATGTAACTGGGTTTTTGTGTCTTTAAATTAGTTGATTAGTAGTTAGTTAATCTTAACCTTCTGCTTTTCCCCCCCCCTCTTTCCTCTATAGAACTAAGTAAGTGAAACCAATAGATGCGTTTGAGAAAAGAAATGAGCTTTTGAAAAGAGTTCACGATTGGAATATTAGAGAAAGCGAAATAAATGAACGTGTTAACAGTTTACTTTGCTATATTTCATATGCAAATAGAGACTTCGATTCAATGATACTTGATGTTGTGTAGACGAACATGTTAGCAGTATACACTTCTCTATTACATTTGTCAACTTTGTAATAAACTCAAAAGCGTTTGAAGCTATCATGAATACAGCAGTATAGGACGTGGTACCACCGGCAAGTATGCATTACATACATATATAGAATGTATAGACTGAGGTCTATGCACTCGATAGTAGACAGATGTGACTTACCCCAAACCGTAGCCCAACTATTTAACAGTCAGTCAGCTGCAACATAGGATCAGGTACATATATGCATCGGTCCAAGTTGCCATACCTCATTAGCACAACAAGATGAACACCAAATTCATAGAAGTAGTTAATTCAGTGGTGATAATATATAGAAGAAAGAGTGTGTATAAGGAGATAGTACAGGAAGAAAGAATTAGTTGGTAGAAAGAAATATTTGAAGTGATTTTAATCTCTTAGTTTAAAGGAAGATAGAGAGTGAATACACCGACGCCATTGTGATCGATTCTGAGCCATGTCATACAGAGTCGCCAACCATTGGTTATGTTAGGGACGCGGACCCCAACCAGGTAGTCTGCATCTACCATCATGGCTCAGACCAGAAGTTAGTGACTTCAATCACTGATGCCACATCTTGGTTCGGCCGCCTCTAACTTTCTTCCAATCATCCCTAACACTGGTTAACATTGCGCGTCATGGTAATCGGTGTTCAGACATACGCAACACATGGCCTAACCATCTCAGTCAATGAAGATTCATAACATCATCGAATCGTGGGTGCGCACTGCTAAGGAGTCCCATGCTAGGACGAAACGGCCGTCCAGTGCTTCCAGGTTTTCAATGGTGGTCTAGCTTCAATTGACTCATGATTTCAACTACCGAAATTAGAAGAGCTACTCAATACTACAAATCAGTAATTTGCACGTTCAAATTCCACTTCATCTAATTTAATTTAAACAAGCTAGTAGCCCTCAAACACACAAAATATGTGAACCCTTAAGCCGAGTATGTAAAATCGTCTTTGGTAAATTAGTTTTCATTGAAGACAACTCTATGCTACGTATGTTTCGTATCTTTTCACTGATGCATCTGTAACTATAATATTTCAAAGAATTACATATTAAGATATTTGGAACGAATGAACAAACCAAAAAATACTTGCTTAGTTTTCACAGTATATTGACTATGTCATTCATCTTGGAAATCGTGTTAATCTTAATCAAATCAGTGGTTGATAACATTTCATAATGGATTCAATAAAAGTAACTATCGTTTGCAGGCTCAATCCATCTTTACTGTAGGCTATATATCCGGATGCTTAGTAACTCTCTTTATATTGCTTTGTGGGTGTAAAACTTGAAGTGTAAAAGTGGAATAAATTCTTAAGTTCTAAGTATTTGATCATGAAGTATTGAGTAACAGTACCGATACCTTAGTTGACATTGAATTTTGGTCGATTTAGGTGTCTGAAACAAGCATCATTCAGTTCATGTTCGACCACCACTTATCACAATATGTAGCTATATCTGACATTTCAGTAAGTTAGAGAAAATGACTTCACATTATGAACATAGCCCACCAGATCATTATGTCGGTAGCGCAGACTTCTCAAACGGAATCAAAGCAATAACTATGACATAACTCCTTATTTTGTTCCCATGTGGTGATTTGAACCAGTATACATTCATGTCAGATCCTATATTAATAATTAGTGATTAGATTTTTCAGTCATTCACATCTCACTTATTGAAACCTTTTTTTTTTAAATGGTATAGGGGATTATAGAGATTGTTCAATTTTATTGTTTTAGAATACCAACGAACTTCAATTAGTAAGCCAGAAAGCTATAATCAACAGATTTCAGTTATGTTGAATATGAGCGGACATCATCAGTACTAATATAGTGTACTTGCTTACTTACGCCTGTTACTCCTGATGGAGCATAGGCGGCGACCACCATCCTCCAACCCACACTGTCCTGGGCCTTGTTTTTTAGTTCCATCCAATTCTGGTTCATTTTTCTCATGTCTATCTCCATTTTCCGACATAATGTGTTCTTTGGCCTTCAGGATTCCATGTGAGGGGTTGTCTTGTGAAACAGTTGGTTGTTTTCCTCAATGTGTGTCCTATCCACTTCCTCCACTGGAGTCTGGTTTGTTCTTTCCTACAGTAGGTTGTTGCTAATAGTGTTCGAACAACGGATCCGAAGTATTTCGCGTAGACAACTGTTAATAAACACCTGTATCTTCTGGATGATGGCATTTGTAGTTCTCCAAGTTTCCGCCCCATACTGCGGAACTGTCTTGACATTTGTATTGAAAATTCTGACTTTGGTGTTGGTTGCTAATTATTTTGAGTTCGAGATGTTCTTCAATTGTAAATATGCTGCTCTTACTTTGCCGATCCGTGCCTTCACATCTGCATCAGATCCACCATGTTCATCAATATAGTGTAGCAAATAAATTTTAGTTAAAACTTTAAATAGGCTATAAGATATCAACTTACTAGTCTAACGGTTACGTACAAACTACATAGCTTGATAGTTCTAGGTTTAATCCACTACAGAATCGCAGATGATGTACACTTTTGAAGAATATTATACTGGGACGAAACATCTGTTTTCCATTTTCATTGATTATCTAACAAAAGCTCATTCGGAATGTAAAATTCATGACATATTACAAAGTAATGAAAGATATGCACACCTTTTACTATATCCCGATAAGAATAATGAATGATAACTGTTGGAATCCATTTATGGATCAATCCTATACATACATTCTTATTGTATAATTATTATGTAACTAAACTATTCATATTCTTGTTCCTCTTATTATAAGCTTTATATCGACCTATACACTATTAATATACGATTTACCGTTCCTGAGTTATGCCCTGTCTATTAATTACTATCTCCCTTATCCACAACCACATTTGACTAGATCTTGTAGAAATGTTGTTTCCTATTTTATGGTACGATGTGGTCTGTCTGGTTGGTAATATAAACCCTGTGTGTTTGAAATACATGATTCATATCACAGAGGCTCAGATTAGTGTTGTGAACTTAACTGGTTGAGTTAGGCAGGAAGTAGGATCGATAAGTACTCTAGACTGCTCGTAAGGGTTTAACGCATCATTGGTCGGGTCGATAGTTCACTGTTCTCTAATTGACAATATGCTTGCATTAGACATTAATTAATAAGGATAAAGGGGCACAAATGATAACACCTTTAAAAGTATTTATTTAAATTGCATGCTTCAAATAGAAATAATAAATAGTATTATTATTATTAATACGATTATTATTAATTTCCCCAATAAACAAAAGCTTTATCAAATATGTAATGTAATGTAATGTATGTATACCATATTTCAAGGGTCTTTCAATAAAATCAGATATGTTACATTTATTCATTCATTGATTAAGCTTGGTAACCATTGTCATTAATATTCATTAAATGAAGCAACTAAGCAAAATAATCTTGTTGATAATCAAGTTTTTTTTGTTTGTTTTTTTTTAGTTTTTCTTTTCTTTTTGTTTTCCGATAAATAAAGTCAATGTTGAACCCACACACACACGCGCGCACGCACGCACGCACGCACACAATCTTTGAATAAATAAACAAATAAATAAATAGATAAATAAATAAATAAAGAATGTATTCCCGTGAAGGTCATTTATTCAAGGTTATTTATGATTAGAGAGTGTAAATAAACAAACAAATAAACGGATGTGTAGAATTTGATTCAAGAGAAAAACAATTTGATGTTTTTCTTCTTTTTTATTTTCTTTTTTTTCCTTTCTCTTTTTTTATTTTCTTCTTTCTATTGAAATTAGAATAAACTTATGATTGTTTGAATAATTAAACCAAAAAAAAAGAGAAAAAAAACAAAGAAATGTTGCCAATATTCACTTTTAAAAATAAATAATTATGTGCAGTATTTTTTTTATTTATTTTGGTGACAGGGGAAAAGAGGGGGGAGGGGGTATGTGTTTATTAGGTTCCAGAAAAGAAATCGATGTGTAATTCATGAGAGTATTCTCATTACTCTTTTTTTTTTAATGTGAATCATTAATATGTCGATGAGCACCAAATGACATACCAGCTTGTGAAGCAACTTGATTTTGTGGTAATCCCATTTGTAAACCAATAACAGATGCTCCATCTGCAGATAAATTATCACAACGTATATCGGCAATATGACGTTGACCACCCATACGCATACCTTTTTGACTAGCTAATTTATTAGTACCATATTGTAAACTAATAACATTTTGACCTTCTTTTGATATATCATCACAACGAATATCAGCTATATGACGACTACTACCAATTCGCATACCCTATCATAAGATAAAAGGGAACAACAAATTCAGTACATATTATCATATATAATTTTGCTAATAAAATTAATTTTAAGCAAAGATGGATAGTGGGTAGCAGTGAAATCCAGTTTGACGCGCGTTTCGTCCTATTCGGGACTCGTCAACGGGATGTACCTGCCACGTCCCAGAGTTGATGTTCACTCTGGGACTCGAACTCAGTACCGTTCATTTCAAACGACATCACGTTATCCACTTAGCTACTGAGTCCACTTGCTTGTGCAATGGGGTGAAGTTTAAATTCACTTGGTATTGTTTTACTTGAATCTTCTTCCCATTTATGTTTAGGACTGAGATTGATCAGTCTTTTATCGGTATATGTGGCAACATCGGAGAAATACATACAGTATGCACATAAGCCAATAAGAGACTGATTAATTTCAGTCCTAAACATCAATGGGAAGATTCAAGTAAAACAACATCAAATGAATCAAAATCAATTTTGTTTTTATATTTTAATGAACATATGATTCATGGAGGTAATCGACTACCTTCAATAAAACCACATTATATCTAAGCATAATGTACGCTTAGACTAGTGATCACATTGTAACTTGATCGATAGAATTCGACCTGATTTAAGAAGGATCTGACATACATGACATTGAACAATATCCAGTGATTAATCAACTGTAAAAAATATCTGTGAAGTCAATCATCCTATCGATGGTACATTAAAAAATAGAAGTGATTATATAGAATAGATGTAATATAGTCAGCAATGGGATCCAAGAATCGTGTCATTTCGTCCTAGTTAAGACTCGTCAACTGGTATCTTATAGTTGATGTTTACTCTAAGATTCAAGTCCTGGATTGCTGTTTAACAGTTCTGAAACGACGCTTTGATTGATGACAAAAATTTACTTCGACTATAATAATAAAAGTTTTGATACATTTCTAAAGCACCTAAAAGTGGGATCAAAGATACATGTCTTTTCCAATTTGTGATTCATCAGTTGAACGTATTTCCATTCTAGTTTTGATTGATGTTAAACCACCATTGAACACCTGGAAGCATTGGACGATCATGTCGTCCTGTTGTAGAACTTCTCAGCAATGTGCATCCACGACCCCATCGCGGGATTCAAACCCAGGGCCTTCATTCTCGCACGCGAACGCTTAACCTCGAGACCACTGAGCCGACCGATATCCAACGGTGTTAATGTTTAACTTCAACCGATCCACGAAATTGCGTGACTATCTTCCGTTGTACTGAGGTAGATATCTGTCTCTACCCGACACGGATTGGTTCCACTGGTCATTGCTTCTCATTAAAACTCCGAGAATTCCCTCACGAAGCTATTCACTAGTCAAGAGTTCGAGTCCCTTTGGTACACGATGCACTGATAAGAAGTTCCATACTAAGACGAAACGGCCATCCAATACTTCCAGGTTTTTCATGGTGGTCGATTTATAAATGCAACTATTAGAAATTATAACAATATCGATAAAACCTCATTCTTATATAATTGTGAATAAATTCAATTACCTTTTGTGAAGCGAATTGATTTGTGCCCATTTGTAAATTGATTACAGATTTACCTTCTTGTGATAAATCATCACATTTTATATCGGCAATATGACGTTGATTACTGAAACTCATACCTTTTTGTGATGCAAATTTATTTGTACCCATTTGTAAGCTTATTACAGCAGCACCTAAAAACAGTTTCGGAGGGAAGAGAGGAAGGAAGGAAGAGAAAAAAAAACGGGCGTTTCTTAGAGTTGTTCATCATTTATTCTTTTTTATTCAACTACATAAACATTGATACCAGAAGGCCACATAAATCATTCAATTTATGTGAGGTCTGATATACTTTCAGGGCGCGCGAATCGAAGTAGGTGGTTTTCTTAGAGCGCTACACTCAGAGCCTTCGACCTAAATATCTGATCCACAAGGCAGTGGAGCATCGTAAGGAGATGCAGTCCCATGGTAGCCGGTGATCAACGATTGGTTCATATGCCACTTTTTTCCTCAAGATACTGGAGCCCATATGCACCATTGGTTTGGAATGAGGGTTTTCCAACTCCTCTAGGTGGATTCTCTGTTCTCACCAGCCTGGTTAGACCTCCTACCGGAAATTCGTTTTCCGTCCTTTCAACTTCGTAGACAACAGTAGTGGCACGAGAAGGCAGTGAGTAGAACTACCCTGACAGTGGCTGTATGCACGTGGCCGTTTGGAGAGGGAGAGCTGACTCTCCTCACTCTCGGCCGTAACAGGGCATTTGGATGTTTCTTACAGTTTAATAGAAGGATTCCTTTAAAATATATTATACGAATTATGCTTAGTAAGACAAATTAACTTACGTTAGAAATGTAAATCAACTCAGAGATCTGAAAGTTAAGTGTTCCTATCTACACGTGAAGATCCTTTGATGGGATCATGGATGTGTCCATAGTAGAACGAAGCAAATGATATTCTTTCCTGGTTTTTACTAATCGTCTAACTAAAGTCAATCTCTGATGTTAAACCATAAAAATGTGATTATAACTTTTATTATGTATTGGCATCAGTTAGAAAATTATTGAAAACCATACCTTCAAATGTCGTGGTACGGCCGAAGGTAAGAGCATTTCGCTCTCCCTCTTTCAATGTTCAGACATGGCCATGTATTTATAGGTTTTACTAGGGAAGTTGTTTACCACGGTGTTATTTCTATAAAAGCGATATGGTCCATCTAAGAGAGCTGAGAAACCCTGATGTCAAACTCATAAAGTATATGCGTCTCATAATACTGAAGGGATGAATAGAAAATAAACCAATTTTGGTCATAGGACTACCTCTTCTGACATCATTCTAGTGTCATGTGGGTTAAACATCTGGGTCAATGACTCGACGAATGGTCTCCTTTAAAAAAAACAACCAGTTTTGTCTGAGTATGCAATCAGTATAGCAACCAACACATAAGTAACATGATGAATTGTTAAACAGTTATTTCACTGTAGTTTGAAGCTCTTCAAGAGTAGCCTAATGAAAATCTAAACAAAACCGATCTCATAATTATCAAATACAATTATGATCAGAACGAATGATTCATATTTTTTAAAAACTTCAGTTAGATATTAACTATGACAGTTGTGACGACGGACCACGAGTGAACTCGAGGAAGCTGTAAAAGGATCACAAGATATTCCATCCAATCACCTGGAAGAATATTCTAGAATTCCTACGTGTAGCTTCCCCGTCGGACAAGGCTAATAACCCCCTGTATGCGGATTGGAGGACTGTAATGATGATTTTTGTTCTTACTAAAAACTAGAAATACCTGACAGTTTTGTACTATAATTGACACTTTTTAGGAATAATATTCCTTTGATTAGTCTTATGTCTTCTCCTTGCAACTTGGAAGGGTTTTGACGTTCTAGTGCTCAGGTTATACGCGATATATCAAGTAAACAACCTTCTAGATATGACAACAGTAAACGATCATTCATTGAATTACTGGTTAATGATTTAAAAGTATTCAGATCATTACCATATTTGGATTGAACTATCCACAAAATAATCAATATGTATATACTGTCATCAGCTTAATGTAAAAGCTGGAACTGATCAATAAATGAAGGTAAACACATAGTTATGCACCATGTACAAAAGACTATCCTTATTATATTCAAAGTCATTCCAGTTACATTCCATTGATATTTTGTTTACCAACTGATTTTATATTTAACTCTAATTAATTCATATTCTGTTCTATACTTGATTCTTAATGGTTGATCAGACAACTGACCTGAGTATGTCACGTGATCAATTGACCTAGTGTTCAGTTTATTGATCTATTGTTTAGTATTAACAGTCTGTGAAGAGAATTGTTATTATCATTAAGAGGATTTATGAAGATGGTCGTAATTTCTCATAGCTAGTGATTAGTTTCAAGATGGATTTTTTAAAGTTCTAATGAAAAGTTGTGTCGATCAGTCGAGTCTAATCCGTATCGAGTGTGAGACAGTTATCCAACTCAAACAATAAATTAACACCGACGACCTCGCCCCCTGCGAGATTCGAACCCAGGACCTACTGGTTTCGCGCGCGAGCACTTAACCACTAGACCACTTGCAGGGAGCGAGATCGTGGCTGCGCACTGCTGCGGAGTCCCACAATAGGACGAAACGGCCGTCCAGTGCTTCCAGGTTTTCCATGGTGGTCTAGCTTCAACTGACTCATGATCTTAATGATTAAAATCACTACAATCTCCACAAAACCCCTTCTGATAATAAATTAACATTTGCACAAGATTATGGACTAATTGAAGTTAGACATTAACATGGTTAAATGTCGACTCAGTAGTCCACAGGTTACATGTTCGCCCACGAGACTGAGGGTCCTGTGTTCGAGCTCTTTTGTTGCGAAATCATGAATGAACAATATTGTGGACTTCCATACTAGGACGAAACGTTCGTCCAGTGCTTGAAAGTTTTTCATGGTGGTCAATCCATAATCAATGCATGCATTCAACTATTAACAATTGTTATTCGTTATGATATAACGACAGGATGAAAATATTTTCCTTTACCGAGATATGATACTCTAATATGATAACACAATTTGTGGCCGAAATTAGATTACCACTAAACTGGATAATTGATTAGAACGTTTCTCATACACTGAGATCATATTATATTAGATACATGATTCATAACTAACTATAGAGAGAGCCAGAACATACTTTCTTGAACACAGTTACTATACACAAATTAGTTCCAAGTAGAAGTGCATTATGGATAAGGAAATCATATTAAAACGTTAGTAAGATTATGCCTAATCAGTCTTCACTTAATAGCCAATTCACATTTTAGTTTTTCCCCCCCCCCAAACTCACAATGATTTACTGAATATAAATTATATGTAACATTTTAATTGATTACCTTCTGGTGTCATATCATCACATCGAATATCGGCAATATGACGTTGAGCACCAAATGACATTCCTTTTTGTGATGCTAATTTATTTGTTCCAGCTTGTAAACCAATAATACCTTCACCAGCACGTAATTTTTCTTCTGTCCATTGACGTGGTTGTGAATAAGTAGGTTTTGGTCCACAAACAGGACCTTGAAATCCATTACGTTGACACTATACACAAACACAAATGGTAATAAGAATAATACCCACTTAATTCAATAACAAATAATTGTCTATAATAAAGAATTCTCACAGTTTAGGGGTTATGGAGATTGTCAAGTTTTTGATTGAGATCATGAACCGATTGATGTTAGACCATCATTGAAAACCTGGAAGCATTGGACGGCCGTTTCGTCCCGTGAGCAGGATCGTAGATGCTCACTATTGATGAGTCCTGCAATAGGATGAAATGGCCGTCCACTTCTTCCAGGTTTTCAATGGTGGTCTAACATCAATCGGTTCATGATCTCAATCAAAAAGAATTCTTCGTTCAAATAGAAATAAAACTCAAGATAAAAGCCTTCTATTTGAATTTTGTACTGATGATGTCGTTCAGAAGAACGATGAAAGCCCCACGATCAAAACATCCAACTCAGAGAACGAAACTTCATCGAAAAAAAAGAAGACAATTCAAGATGAATTCCCTGTTTTCTAACAACAATTATTTACTATTCATAATGATCAATAAATGTTTATCATTACTCTTTCCTTCCATGATATCCCTATTTATTAGTGATTATACTTGATATGTGAATTACATAGTGAATCCCTCTCATTTCTTTAAAGATTATAGTAAGGAGGGAGGAATATAAAAAATCATTGTGGTGGTGGTGGTGTTTAACTGTAATTAGATTCGCAACAGATTGCATACATTTTATTAAAGTAAATACACGTAGTTAAACTCCACCTGTGGCTCTTCTAGAGTTACTGCCGGTCACAAGCCCGGGTTAAGGAGGAGGGTTGGGAATGGGGTTAGCGACCCCATCTTGTAGAAAACTAACTTGCTAAACAGACGTTAACCAGAAAAAATAATTCAAACCGCTTAAACTCTGTCCTGATAGTTAAAAGGTCTTCATCTAGATGAGTTATGACACCTCAAGATGAAAGTCGAGTCCCTTCGGAAGTCACGAGGTTGATGCTCCTTCTGACAACCAGAGCAATCCCTAATTTAGGTACATGGAATGTCCACCTAACAACTAGGACTAAATGAATGTTATAAACCAGTATGAAGAATGAGTTTTCATCATAAACTGACATGAACTAGATTGTGAAAATGCTATTTAGTCAAAAGAATAAAGTTCCTCGGTGTTCATTATCTGAAAAGATGATGACTACATACTTCTAAGAAGTTCCATATTCGAATGAAAATGATGTTCAGTGTATTAATTAATCCAAATAAAAACAAAGTGAAAACCTACTTCAGTTCCTAATTGTAATAGAGTAGCTAATACTTGTGCCATATTTCTTGCTTCAAATAAATCAACCGTTTGAAATAAACATTCACGTGGTACACCATATGCTTCGGATGAATCAAGAAATCGTTGAATATTCTCCATCTGTAATTAAGAAATTAATAAATCAAAGGGATCATTGAGATGGTGAGAAAGATTTGTAGTTCAGGTGGATGATTTTGATAGAGTTTAGTTCTCTAAACTGGATGGTTTGATCGTAAAGCTTTCATCGTTCTTCTAAATGACATTATCAGTACAAACTTCAGGTAGAAAAGATATGTTCAAATTTCTCCACTTCTACCTAAAGTTTTTGCTGATGATGTTGTTCAGAAGGACAATGAAAGCTTCATGACCAAACGATCCAGCTCAAAGAACAAAACTCCATCAAAAAGAGGGGATAATCAAATAGAATTATTGAAAATGTATATTGATGGTTACCGTCAGGGATTAAGATCACTTCACATAACTTTAGAATCAAGAGTGCCAATATGTAGCTGTTTGTTTCTTGTATTGAAGTAGAACTCACTAACGAGCTTCCTAGAAACTGAATCCCAAAACTTACTTGTTTACTAGACTTCATATTTCACCGATGATTACACTGAATTAATGGCATTGAGTTTGGGTGATGTTCCATCACAATGACAGTAATTCCTTTGATGTTATCATCTTTGAATGTAGTATAAAATGATTGCAATACATTTTATGAATGTCATCTCATGGAGAATTCCAGTTAGTTTATTATTTATCAACGATAAGGTTGAATGGAGAAAGCTGATATATTGTCAGTTTATGATATTGGTGCCGTAGTACGGTAGATATATATGACGAACATAGGTTAGTCAATCACTAATTTTTTCTTACTCCTTTTAAACATTCAACTAATTAGCTTAAGTAATAATCGCATAAGATATTCTACTGCAGCTACATATTAGATTCTTCATGAAATCAGATGAATCTTCTTGATTAAACGAAGTTTCTTAACTCAGTGGAGTAATGGCTTAGTGATTAAAGCTACAAAGTCTCTAGTTCTAACCCTACCCCTACATACACTTAGAATGGTATGTCTTCTCGACTATATTGCATTTTTTCTTTATAATCAATATCGATTTAATTATTCATTCAGTGATTATGTAATAATCCCTCTTTTATTTCTTCGGAACATCATTATTACCGCTTCACATAATTCAATTGTCTCGATATTCTGTTTGCTCAACATTTTTATGTTAGAAAATAATTAAATAAAAAGGTTAAATAACGAGCATCAAAGGTTTTGAGGAGTCAGAGGCTTCACTCATATCTGTGGATTTATCCGAGTGCCCAGATCAAAGTAGATAGTTTTCTTAGAGGGTCACACCCCAAGTCTTTCACCTAGGGATCTAATCCACAAGGCAGTGGAGCAATGTCAGAAGATGCAGTACCATAGTATCCAGTGACCAACAATTGGTTCATGCATCATTCCTTCCTTCAGAATACTGGAGACTATGTGTACCATTAGTTTAGAATCAGGGTTTTTCAACTCCCCTAGATGAATCCTCCATATCCATCAACTCGGTTTAATCTCCCACCAAATAATCGTTTTTCATCCTCTCAATTTCATAAAGAACAATAATGCTACGAGAAGGTAGTAAGTAAGACTTCTCTGATAGTGAGAGTATTTGGAAAGGGAGAGTGGACTCTCCTCACCCTTAACTGTACCAGAGCATTTGGAGGTGTCTCATACTAGTATGAAACACCTCTTTAACTAACAACAATTTGTAATCTTAAATAAATCATTTTATTTACTAACTAGTTGTTAAGTGAATACACAAAAAAATGTATCCAAAATAATAAAAAAAAATTCTTTTTTATAAGAAAAAAAAAACAGTCAAGATTCAAAAGATTTTCACAATAATTTTTTTTCAGGGGGGTGGGGTTTCTATATTTAGTTTGTTTATTAATAAAGGTATTTTTCTTCTATGAAAAGTAAAAAAAAAAGACCAAAACAACGTGTAAAATCATCCACCTAACTTTTATACTAGTTGCCAACACAAATCACCTTTTTTCAAAAAGAAGATTTGTGTTGGAATGAGGCGAAAAATAAATGAATTATCGTTTACACCAAGGGATATATTGTGTATATATATATATATATATATATATATATATATATATATATATGGAGAGAGAGGGGGAGAGGGAGGGAGGGAGATGTATTTGTATATATGTATGTATGATTATGTAACTGCATTTTCTGACATTTACAACACACACACACACACACGCATATATATACATTTCCATTATAATAATAATAATAATAATAATAATAATAATAATAATAATCGTAATAATAATAAGACAAAGCATTATTTGTGATTTATTTAAAGTAATACTGCACTATACTTCTATGTAATCATTTCCATTATTACACTTTCTATCAACACACTAACAGAATGAAGGAGAAAGTGAAGTAGATGTACCATAATATGATATACATTAATTCTATTATTTTGTATTAAATGGCTAATAATAATAATAATAATAATAATAATAATAATAATAATAATAATAATAATAATAAGAAGAAGAAGAAGAAGAAGAAGAAGAAGAAGAAGATGATGAAGAACAATAACTAAGAATAACTAAGATAAATTCAATATTGACATTCATTGATTTCCTACTTTCATTGGTACCATTCATTTAGATGGGTTATCACTATACATACATACATACATACATACATGCATATATATATACATGTATGGTAGTATACACACCGGAATAAGTGGTTATAGTTCTTTAATACCATATGTCTTTTAGGTACATTTATGATAGGTATGTATAAACTATAAGGTGAACTGGTATTTCATAACTGTAATTCAATCCTCATTATATATATATAGAATTGTAGGAATCATTTGAAGGAAATGTATTTGACCTAAATTTTAGCATTGATTTGTATTGCTTGTATCGTTTGTTAGTGTTAAATTTGTCTGATTTGTAATTATATCGGAATTGGAATTTATGTAATATAGATGACCTGTTCAATTTGATTATGTATATCAGTATAAGAAGAATATTTAATGAAAACTCATTCTGATATATGCTTATTAGTGACTGACTTCAAGCCCGATTGTAGATGCCATTCTGTTTATTCTTGTTTCACTTGGTCGTTGATGTGCTTTTAGAGATAACACTCATCTACATTTCCAGGAGTTGAACTTCTACTGTGGGACTCACTTGTTGACTTAGAATATGCCGGTGACATAGTTCTATTTAGTGAAGACGCTGACAAAATACAGAGTCGTTTGGCTACTCTAAACAACAATGCAAGCATGTTCGGCATGCGATTCTTCCACTCGAAATGCAAATTGTTACTTCAGGATTGAGTTGCATCGACACCCGAACTAATGATAGGAAGTGAAATAGTTGAGCGTGTCGACCGCTTCACTTAACTTGGGAGTCTCATAAACTCTTGTCGTCTGGTATTTGATGAAATCTCAGCACGGATACAAAAGGCTAGACTAACTTTTGCCAATTTCCGTCATTTATGGCGTAGGTGAGATATCCGTTTGCCAACCAAAGGACGTGTTTATTGCGTAGTAGTTCGTTCCGTCCTACTTTATTGCTGTTAAACATGGTCGGTAAGAGTAGAGGGTATTTGTAGGTTACTAGTATTTGACCATAGGTGTCTTTGAAACATTGCTCGTATATCCTGGGACCATCGTGTAAGTAACGCAGTTGTTAGGAAACGAGTACTAGGTAAGGATGTCAAATCAATTGATGAAATAGTGAAACTTCATCAGTTGAGATGGCTGAGACATGTGTTACGTATGCCCTACCACCGACTGCCCGACTTGCGATATTCCATGTTGTGGGAGTAGGTTGGAAGAAATGTAGGGGCGGTCAGACCAAAACATGGCACAATTCTATGAAGTCACTGACAAGTGGACTGAGTCATGTTGTTAGGTGTAGACTACCTGGTTGGGGACCGCGAGACAATAGCAACCGATGGTTAGAGACGTTGAATGACATGGCTGAAAATCGTTTGCAATGGTGCAGGTGTATCCACTCTTTGTGTTTTCCCAAATTCTAATCTTCTGAATTCTTCATGTCCCTTTCTTTTTTCTTCGCTTTCCGAATTTTTTTCACTGTATTATACTCCTTGAATAACATCTACAAAGCCTAATGTTTCCGATTACAGCTTATACTTTCACTACTTCTAGCACTACGGGATTTGAATCAACGATTGTATCTGTGTGCTAAAGTGGTATGGCAACTCGAGCTGATGTACATACGTACGGAGTTGTACGTTGTTACTGACTGACTGGCTTCAAGAGTTATTTCCTGAAGTTCTAGTGAGAAACAATGACCAGTGGAATTCAACTGGGTCTGTTGTGAGATAATCTTGGATGCGTCGTTCAATTTCGTGGATTAGTTGAAGTTAAACATTAATACCATTGAGTGCTGGCTCCGTGGTTAAGAGGTTAAGCATTCGCACATGAGACCGATAGGTTCTGCGTTCGAATCTTGCAATGCGGGATCGTGGATAGAACAAGACATAACTACATTGGTATATAAAATGAACACTCTATATTTGCCTTGTCAAGCTGGTATCTAATGTGACAATTAAAGATTTAAGAATAAAACTAATTTACTAAAGATATCGGTAACTTTCATTAAGTACTTCGTAACGAAAAGATTTCGCTCATTTCTCCTTTCATTATGTGTGTAAGTGTTGTATGTTGAATTGTAATCTTCTTAAAAATTTATCATTTCAAGCCTTATCCTTTACTTGTATACAACTCACGCTAGTCTTGACAACAAAATGTCACACTGTAAAGATTCTCTCTAATATAGTAGTAGTCTTAGGTTATTTCTCTCAACAGTTAAGCTCTTACATTGGTACTGTAGTGTGTGCTACTAATGTTGACAGATATAAGTAGTATACATCATCAATTGAATGTGAAACGCCTAAAGGCAGAAGGTTAAGGAGATCGAAGTAAAGAGAACGAGAACATAGAATGATCGCTGTAGAAATGAAGGAACAGTGAAATCTGAGACGAATGATTAACATTTATGCAAATGAACTATTTACTGTATGGTTCTCAGATTTTATCAAAATGTTCTGTAATTTTGTATTCAAATACATTCGATTGTCCCCAGTTGTGTTCTTATTCACTATAGTACTATAAAAAGTGAACAAATGGTAATGTCAATTCATAATCTATCAACATAATATTGGATTTGATTCATTGTGGGATCATGAATGTACACTGTTACTGAAATATCCTATTACTAGGATAAAACATCTATTCGGTACTTTCAGGTTGTTCACAGTTATGGCCTGCAGACTGTTCGCAAAAGTACCGGTGGGAAGACACCCAGGAAACAGTTAACCATTAAAGTAGCACGTAAAAGTGCAACAGTTACTGATGATGTTAAGAAAACTCATCGTTATCGTCCGGGTACAGTTGTTTTACGTGAGATTCATCGTTAACAAAAGTTCACCGAGCTAATTACCACTCCAGTCTTTGGTCTGCGATATTCCTCAAAAACTTCAAGTTCGGCAGTTTCTGCGCTTCAAGATGCAAACAAAGCCTACCTTGTTGGCCTTTTCGAAGACACTAACCTGTGTGCCATCCATTCCATACGTGTCAATATTATACCAAAGGACATACAACTGATACATACAGTGATAATACAGTAATAATGTACTTAGGTATATTATACAAAATAAAGGTAATCATAACAAACAGAGATAAAGTAAACATCACCTAAAAGATAAAAATTAAAGCAATTGGGTTAAAGAATACAAAGAACAAAGTAACCTCCTGATTTGTTTACATTTACATGGACACTATGGTATAACATCATTTATATCAATGTGACATGAAGGATTGTGAACATAAAGTTTAGTGAGAAAAAGTCAAAATGTTAGACAGAGAAAATACAAAGAACTACAAAGAAGTCTGTGACTCAGTCCAAGCATCAATCAATAGGCCTATGAATAGTGACTTAATCAATCTATGAATGACGGGAAGGAAAAACACCGAATAAGATCAGAGATCATATCAACATAGAAAACAATCAAAATAGATATATAACACAGTAATTATAATCAGTAACCAAATAAAATTGCAGGTCAACATAATAAGCTATTCAGTCAATCAATTATAGAAGACCATAAGTCCCAGGTTCGATTCCTGAGTGTGAGATCGCATGTATACACCGCTTAGGAGTTCCACACTAGGACTAGTTTTTCAGTGGTGGTCTAATATTGATCAGTTAATGATTTCAATGAAATGATAAAGAACTCCTGATAGCTCACGTCCCTTTGAAGTACATGTTGATAGTGTTATCCGAAACAGATAAGTTTTAAAAATAATCTATCCACGTCAGAAGAATTCTAATTGAAGAAATAAAAGTTTACAACTGTATTTTCATAACGATATTTAAACTTATGATAATATGAATGTCATCAGATTGGGGGGGTTTTGTGGAGATTGTAGTAATTTAATAGTTGGATTCATGAGTCAATCTTAACAAGATCACCATTAAAAAACTGTAAGCACTGGACAACCATTTCATCCTAATGTTGGACTCTTCAGCAGTGCACATCCATAATTCCACATGAGGGACTCAAACACAAGATCTTCTGTCTCACGTATGAATTCTTAACCTCTAAACCATTGAGCCGATATCTAAAGGTGTTGAAGTTGAATCGATTGAAGTTACGCATTATCTCCGTTGGACGCTGGTTCAGGGATCTAGAGATTAAGCGTCCATATGCAAGACAGAAACTCCTGGGTTCGAGTCCCGCGTGTGGAATTGTGGATGCGCACTACTGAGTAGCCCCATACTAGAACCAAACGTCCGTCTAGTACTTCTAGGTTTTCAATGATGGTCTAACATTGATCCATTCATAATATCCATTTATTAACTCAACAATCTCCATAACCCTATACCGATAGAATGAAATGTGTCTATAATCAATCACATATAGAAAAATTAAATAATCATATATTATGAATTGTATTTGTTTTTTTAATTAAATAAACTCACTTGTTTAAATGGTGCAGTTCCTGTATTGGCATTGATTGGTCTACGTATTGTTTGAGCTTTTGGTGGTAAATTCGGTGTACGTTCATATACAGCATTGATAAGTCTGTAAATTGAATGTTTAGAAGAGAAAGTAATAATAATAATAATAATAATAATAATAATAATAATGAAAGTACAATCTCTATGCGAATGACATAAAGAGAATTGTCTGCTTCAATCAACATAATACATTGATATTGTAACTGGGAATTACACTATTCGGATGAAATTTAGTTCTTTAAAAAGAAACAGAATTTCTTATCGAAATGTTTATTCTTGCATTATGAACCATTATGTATAACATAAATCCACAGTAAACTCAAGAACATATCATTCATGAGTATTCATAGTTCACAATCCTATATTGATAATTATCATGTGTTCACTAGTGACTAGCTTTGTGGAGGAATTCTCGGAGTCCTAGTAAGAAACCATGACCAGTGGAGTTAATCCGTGTCGGGTAAAGACAGGTATCTATCTCAGTATATTGGAAGATGGTTGCGTAATTTCGTGGATTGGTTGAAGTTAGACATTAACACTGTTGAATACCAGTCGGTTCAATGGTCCAGAGGTTAAGCGTTCGTGAGTGAGACTGAAGGCCCTGAGTCGAAATCCCGCGATAGGATCGTGGATGCGCGCTGCTGAAGAGTCCTACAATAGGACGAAATGGCCGTCCAGTGATTCCAGGTTTTCAATAGTGGTCTAACATTAATCGATTCATGATCTCAATCAAAAATTGATAATTCATTTGATTTTAATTGTAACATGTTTTATTGGCTAAAAGAGATTTCACTTCTATCCACCAACCATCACTGCTTAAAATAACTAGTAGACTGACTAATCCATCTTTACTTTTGTTGAAAGAGATTATGATATTCTATAAAGAAGCTAACTCTACCAATCTTTTCGAGTTTATTCAACGAAAATTAACAACCCAATAATCAGTAAAGATATCATAATTTGACTGAAGGCCAAAATATGTACCTGGTCGGAGGCCTATGCTCCATTAGGAGTAACAGGCGTAAGTAAGAAAGTAAGTAAGTAAGTAAGGAATTAGTTGAATTTAAATTACGGACTATAGCATACTATATTTAGACAGCTCAAACACAATGGCACTTTAATGGTGACAGCAGTACGCGACTAAGAAGAGAGAAGACAAGGACTTTTTAAGACAGCTTTTATGTCTCAATTACCGACCACTTAGCATCTATCATATTATACAAAGCAAAATAACCACTAGAAACAAGTTGTATTTACATGATATTAGTGTATCATCATAGAAGTGAAGTAAAAATAATTGTTTCCTTGACAACTTCACCTGCTCCTGATATCGATTTTTGGGTCAACTCCAACTGTACCATTGCATTCTTACTCGACTGTATAATGGTATGATACAAACCCAGAGACTTAAAAATCTTTAGCTTAATCGTATATACAATTGTATCCATGTATTAATGATTTAAATTCAATACTAGAACGAAGCAACTATCCAGTATTCAATTGCTTTTCAATAGTTTTCAATTTGTTGTTAGCACTTAATAGATAAGTCATCCAAAGAAACCATGTACAATAAAATAAATAAGGTAATATTTATCACAGCATAATCTCGGTTGATGAGAAGGGAACACTGGACCCCTCAACAGTGCATATTCATGATCCCATCGAGCACTGAACCTTGAACTTTCAGTTATCAGTACGAGAGTTTAACCATAAAGCTACTGAGTTAGCATCCAGCGAATCATTTTCATAAGTTCGCTTATTTTTTGATGTAGCGTGACGATCATTTGTAACTACTATTTCATTCCAAACACGTCTGGAATTCACCAGTTAAGATTTTTTTACTAGAACTTATGGCAGTTTCCTACTAATTAACCACAACCACTTGATTTTAAAGCATAGTGCATACGATATCAAGTTACTTAGACTAGTAGCTACACAACAACTTAATTAATAGAATTTGATCAGAACTAAAGGTCTAGACAAATACGACATTGATGATTACTCAATAACCGATCAATTGTAAATAATTAGATCTGGCAGTTGAATTTTGTTCCGAATGTCTGGTGAACGACCTACAATAAACGTAGGGATTCTAATAGCTTACATGTATGTTACATTTGATCACATATTGCTAAACTATTCATTTGGACTAGGATCCTAGAATCTAGATCCTATATTATGTGAATACGAATTGAGTTTGAATAATTTGACAACACAGGCGATATTCAAAGCTCTTGTAACATCTAATCTCGTTTGTTTTTAAATAGAACTATGTATCCTTACTGTGAAAAGAAATATACTCTGTTGACATGTATTCCATCATCTAATATTCTTTCAGCTGAGCAGAAGCTGTCAGACACATTATACCATTGAGTACCATTCCACTCATAAACACAATCTAATAGAAGTAAGGCTACACCAAAATCAGATCAATTCACAGTGTTTAGTAACATTTAAAGTTTGATAGGATTAGTTGATCGTTTAAATATAACAGGGAGAAATAATGATTAATAATATGGTCTAGTGGCTAAGTGCTCGCGCGCGAAACCAGCAGGTCCTGGGTTCGAATCTCGCAGGGGGCGAGGTCGTGGATGCGCACTGCTGAGGAGTCCTATAATAGGACGAAACGGCCGTCCAGTGCTTCCAGGTTTTCCATGGTGGTCTAGCTTCAACTGACTCATGATCTTAATCATTGAAATAACATAACACTTAATTGAGCAAAAAATAATGAAAAAAAAATTCCACGATAATCACCAATCAATGAATACATCTTAGTCCTACAAGAGGTCAGTCGCAAACCAGATAGTTCAGTGGTAACATCTCTTAATGTGAAGCTGAGTGACATATAATCGAATCTATCAGAGAGCATCAGTTCCCTCAAGATTACATGTACACCATTCTGACAAGTAATTTGATTGTCATTCATAATCATGAATATTTAAGAAGTATACAGTGATAACAAACACTACCACCACCACCACCACAACAACAACAACAACAATAATAATAATAATAATAAACTAGTTCTTCCTTACTCAACAAGTATTTGACCATTTTTTAATGTTCTTTGAACATTTTCACGTCCAAGAGGAATATTTTGTCCAGTTAATTGTTGTATCCAACCCATAACTTGACGTTCTGCATCTGGATCATATCTACTATTCAACTATAACATTAAAAATACAAAAAAAAGAAAAGAAAAGAAAAGAAAAAGAAGAAAGTTTGTAATTTGAATAAATAATATTGATAATGTTACATTCTTAGAGTTGAAATCTTCATTATTATTCTGTACAATAAAACATCATCAGTGTTAGTTCTACATTGAAATGTACTTTTCAATGATTTAACAAGTAAATAGATCCATTCATTCTAATGGTTATCTTCATACGGTACTGTCTTCGTAGAATGTTTCTTTTATCAGATATAAATGATACTTGTCATGAAATCTATTTCATCCTTTAGTTTCAAAAGTTTCTTTTCAGGTTTTTTCAAGTAAATAAACAAATAAATAAAATGGTTAAGATCATGAGTCAATTGAAACTAGACCATCATGGAAAACCTGGAAGCACTGGACGGCCGTTTCGTCTTATTGTGAGACTCCTCAGTAGTGCGCATCCATGACCTCTCCACCTGTGAGATTCGAACCCAGGACCTATTAGTTTCACGCGCGAGCACTTAACCACTAGACTATATTGAGATTGATGGTGAGAGGTCTATGTTCCTCTATGAGGACTAATAGGAGTATGTAATACTGAATCAGTCAGAAATCGTTTAAGTGACTAGTTCACAGTATATAATCATAAAAAGTTCCCGATATTACACATATATTGACCATTGTTAATCGAATGTCATCAGCAGCAGCCTACTATAGGAGAGAACAAACCAACTTCCAGCTCAGGAGGAAATTAGAAAAAATGCACAGGATATACATTATGGAAATCATCAAACTACATTACGAGTCAAGCACTAACTTGGAATCCTGAATGGAAACGGAAAAGCAGAAGGCCGAAAAACACACTATGTCGGGAATCGGAAGCAGACATGTAAAGAATGAATAGGAACTAGAAACAACTGAAAATAAAGTGTCCATGATAGAAATGGATGGAGAATTCCGGTGAGCGACCTATGCTCCTCCGCGAAGGGTAACAGCCATAATATATACATATATACCAAGAAGATTTAAAGTTATTTAGTCCTTGTTAATTAATGTTAATTTCTATCTTGTAAAAAAATGATGACCTATAGTCCTTTTTTGAATTCATATTCCTGAATATGCCTTAATATTACGTCATAGCTTGGGATTCTTCATATTTCAACACACATAACACAACCAGGGTTTAGACCTGAAACCGTAGAGACTTTCAATGGTTACACTACTGAATAGTTCTATAATAGAACGAAAAGGTTACTAATGCTTGTTTAAATGAGGTCAATCCATGATGTCCAACTATAAATTCAACAAACTTTACATAACCCTCTACTTAAAGAGCGGATTTACTAGATGAAGGGTTGTCATTCCTTTATTAATAATATTTCCAAACTGTATAGATTATACTCGATTATCACATCACCTCATCAAATGATTGTTTCGTCATAATCTTAATTAAAAAATGATGACATTTTAAACACTCACTAAGGAAATAAGTAAAAGAAACGACCATTCAATCTTTCTGATACATCAACTAGACATATACATATCCAGATGTGATTCATACTTCAATACTACTTAATTTCAATTTAATAAGTAGTTTCTAAATAGTTAATAATGCAATATATAGATTTCGTCTATCAATATAAATAGCATATATCATAGTAATCACTGTCCATACAATACTTATTACATATTACCAATCTTCTTGTTAGAACAACTAGATAGTCAATGGAGTACTTTCTTGAACTTAAGACTCAGTTGTTTAGATCCATGTTATTATAAGGACAACATTAATAATATCACATTATATACATATTTAAAAGATCCTTGTTACAGAGTTTACCTAATAGATTTAACAGTGAGTTATAAATGGAGAACGATATAACAACAGTTAAGTAGATGTATCAACATAGAACAATGTCAAAATAGCACAAATCAAGTAATTTACAATTTAATAGTTGAATTCATGAGTCAGTTGAGGCTAGACCACCATGGAGAACCTGGAAACACTGAACGGCTGTTTCGTCCTAGTATGAGATTCCTCTGTGGCAGTGTGTAACCACAATCCCGCCTCGAGTGATTCGAACTCAGGACCTACAGGGCATTAAAATACTGAGCCGGTGCTGATGTCTAACTTTCAACCAAACCACAAATTGTATATTAGAAATATATTTGTACTAACTAATTGAAGAATAACTTTCAGAATATCTCATTTTTATCTATATACTCATTCATTACACTGAATAGCTGGTTTCATTACTATTTTTGGATTCTATAATAATATGGACCCATAACTCCATATAATTGAATCGAACCCAGATACTGTCCAACTCATAATCTATCATTGTTCATATTAGTATATTGAAACCATTTAAATAATGTAAAGAAGATCAATACACGAATTACATTAATTTTACCCATTCCCTACTATTCAAATGTGTTTTTTTCCTAAGTCAGTTAGTTAGCTACAACGTAGGATCAGGCACATATAGGCATCAGTCCAAGTTGTTATACCTCACCTCATTAACAGAATAAGAGGATCACCAAATTCACAAAAGTAGTAACGTTAATGGTAGTAATATATAAAAGAAAGATTGTATATAAGGATATAATACAGGCAGAAAGAATATGTTCGTAGAAAGAAAGATATGGAGCGATTTTTATCTCATAGTTTAAGGGAAGACAGAGAGTGTATACACCTACACCATTGTGATCGATTATGAGCCATGTCACCCAGAGTCTCCAACCATTGGTTATGATAATCACGTGGACCACAACCAAGGAGTACACATCTACCAACATGACTCAGTCTAGAAGTTGATGACTTCAAGCACTGATGCCACATTGTGGTTTGACCACTCTTTACTTTCTTTTATCCGACAATTTTAATATGAAAAAAATTAGTTTTTATATGAAATCATCCATGATCATCCATTTTATTACATTTCCCTATAATCAAACACTATTTTTTTAATGATATCCGTATATATTACTGATTACAAGCGAGAAAAGAAATATAAAAATGAATAGTGTCTAACAATGGAATACAGGACGCTCATTTCCGACTTGTCAGTTAGATATACTTATCACATCCTAGAGTTGATGTTCACTTCAAAACTTAAACTTAATACCGTTCGTGTTATTCACTCAGTGAACATCAACTCTTGGATGCAACTGACGAGTCACACAACCTGGATTCCACTGCTAGTCACTATTCATCTTTACTTATCATGCACATATGTCAATAAAAAAAAAAAGAGACAAATCAATTCCATTCGTAAACATCAATGGGAAGATTCAAATAAGCCAATTAATTATAGAAATAATTTACCTTTCTAGAAATTGCTACATCAATTCCAAAATCTTGTGTACGAGTAGCCATGATGTTGTTGTTGCTGATGATGCTTCTGATGATGATGATGATGATGATGATGATGATGACGACAATTAATGTTGATCAATTATAAATTATATAAGAAAATAACTTTAAAATGAATATTCTAACAAGATCAAATGGTTAACAATTAAAACTGGATTAAAATGAATGATTCTATACAATTTGTAGTTGAGATGAATACATACACATCACACAACACATACACACACACATACACACATACATTCACACATACACACACAATACACACAGAAGCACATATTTTAATGTAGGGAACAATATCCTTTTATAATTGATTATTACAATACATTTTAGATTGGTGATCTAGACATATTCAACTAACATGACAATAATTTGATCATATTATACACAATAGAAAAATGTGCACTATGGTGAAATTACACCAATAGTCATTGTAAGAATTTGAATTACATCGCCCCACCCCACCCCAACCCACCTCGCGTGTGCCTATCATTATGAATTAATACTTACACAACTGAGATGATTGGGAATCCATACACCTCCGCATAAAATCACATACACACACATATTTATATATATACATACATACATGATTATTGGTTAGCTGTAAAGTTGCTAACCCTATGCCCACCCCATCACCTTCTTTTATATATTATAGGTTTAAAACCGGCAATAGATCTAGAAGAGCTACAGGCAGAGTTATATACATAATTAGCAGCTTAGATATGGTTACTAAAAATAAAATATTTTCCTTTAATTAGATTTGTGTCCATTTAAAGATGTTTTATGGTGCTGCATTTATATATGTGTGTGTGTGCTAACTACTAACCAATCAAATGAATGTCTACTGATAATTTTTTTTAAATGAACCAATCAAATTATCAGATTGAAATAAAACAATCAAATAAATTCTCAGACTGGAATAATCAATAATATCCTATTATTTGTTTCTTTATAACACTTCAATGTTTCAATAGTTTAGGCGCTTATTAAATATTTTTTTTATTTCTAAATATATAGACTTATTTCAAAATGCATTTGCTGGAGTTCTAGTGAGAAGTGGAGTTCAATCAGGTCTATTGTAAGATATCAGCTTACTGAAGACAATGATGAAGGTGGCGAAATTTCGTGGATTAGTTGAAGTTAGACATTAACACCGTTGGATGCCGGCCCTCTCAGTGGTCTAGAGGTTAAGCGTTCACATGCGAGACTAATAGGCCCTGGGTTCGAATCTCACGTGGGGGGGGGCAGGATCGTGAATGCGCACTGCCACGGAGGAGTCGCATACTAGGACGAAATGGCCGTCCAGTGTTCCCAGATATTCAATGGTGGTCTAGCTTCAACTGATTCATGATTTCAACTATTGAAATTACTAAAATTTCTACAAAACCTCTTCTGAAATTATAGATTTGTCTATAAGCAAAGATGGATAGTGAATAGCGGTAGAATCCAGCAGGCACATTTCGTCCCATTTGGGACTCGTTAACTGAATGTACCTGCCACGTCCCAGAGTTTATATTCACTCTGAGACTCAAACTCAGTACCATTCGCTTCAAACGACATCGCGTTATTCACTTAGCTACTGAGTCCTGATAGCCACTTGCTTGTGCATTAAGGTGAATTAAGGGAATGTCGAGGCAATACGCACAGTATGCACATATGCTAATAACAGACTGATCAATTGCAGTCTTAAACCTCAATGGGAAGATTCAAGCAAACAATATCAATTGAATATAGATTTGTTTTTATGTTTTACTTTTTCATCAGAATATACGAAGGTTAAGATAGTCCTATTGTACGGAGATGAAATGTAGAGAACTAGTACAATCATCATCAAAAAGATACAAGTATGTCTGAACAATTGTCTATGTAAGATAGTCATTATTCATTGACAATCTACTGTGAAAAAGACGTTGGAAGTAGGTAGGATATACATTACGGAAATCACCAAATTGAATCATGAGGCAAGCGGCAACTTAGAATCCTGAAGAGAAATGGAAAAGAGGAGTTATTAGCCCTTGATCTAAATCTAATTGGATCGTATAAATGTTTATTAGTGAAACATACATGCCACCAATCCTTGTATATAATTAACAACATGAATCGCGTTAATGAATAACGGAATTAAATAAGTCAAATATGAGAATGGATCTTTGAATATGTATATTTTATGTATTCATCGGTTTGCACAGATAATCAAACGAATGAAGTGAAGAGAAGAGAGAGAGAAGCGAAATGAAGGGCAGTGGTGAAAGCTTGTAAGCCAACTCAATTTAACCATCAACCAGTAATCATGGAGGACAATTGACAAACTCTTTCGAAGTAAACACCGGTGTCAGGCAGAGTTGCTTATTCTCAGAATTTCTCTTTCTCTTGGTGATCGACTGGATCATAAAGATGTCAACATCTGAAGGGAAGCACGAGATACAGTGGATATCTAGGATTCAATTGGACGATCTAGACTTCACAGATGATTTGGCTTTTCTATCAAACACGCAACAACAAATGCTGGAGATGTCGACCAGTGTAGTAGAAGCCTCAGCAGCAGTAGGTTGCAACATACACAAAGGGAAAAGTAAGATTCTCCGATACAACACAGCATGAACCAATCCAATCACACTTGGCGGCGAAGATTTGGAAGATGTACAAACCTTTACATATTTGAGTAGCATAAACGATGAACACAGTGGATCTGATGCAGATGTGAAAGCGCGGATCAGAAAAGCAAGAGTAGCATATTTACAATTGAAGAACATCTCGAACTCAAAATAACTGTCTATCAATCAACACCAAAGTCAGGATTTTCAATACAAATGTCCACACAGTTCTACTGTATGAGGCGGAAACCTGGACAACTACAAAATCCATCATCCACAAGATACAGGTGATTATTAACAGTTGTCTACGCAAAATACTTCGGATCCGTTGGCCGGACACTATTAGCAACAACCTATTGTTAGAGAGAACAAATCAGATCCCAGTGGAGGACGAAATCAGGAAGAAGCGCTGGAAATGGATATGACACACATTGAAGAAAGCACCGAACTGCGTCACAAGACAAGCTCTCATATGGAATCCTCAAGGCCAAATGAAGAGAGGAATACCAAAGAACACATTACGTCGGGAAATGGAAACAGGCATGAGAAAAATGAACAAGAATTGGATGGAACTAGAAAAGAAGGCCCAGGACAGAGTGGGTTGGAGAATGCTGGTCGGTGGCCTATGCTCCATTAGGAGTAACAGGTGTAAGTAAGTAAGTAAGTAATTTATACACTTATATAAAAACAGTTAAGGTTGATAAGCAAATAATTGACAAGATGAAAACACGAACCAAGAAGAATGAATAAATTGTCCTATCTAACAACCAGAATAAGTCCTATAGGTATAACATAGTAACTAACACTATAAAGAATGTCAAAGACCATACTAAGTTGAGAATTAGAAGTAAACATAAAAAGGATGAATAGTAACTGGAAAAAATGTATCCAATACAGAGTTCAAGGAAGAATACTAGTCAGGGATCTATACACCTCCATGTAGGGTAACTAAATAAATCTTCATCAGAATACTTATATAATCAATTTAATGTAAACGTTATTGATTGATTGTTTGTTTGTTTGTTTGTTTGTTTGTTTGTTTGTATTTCAAAAATCAAATAACAACCTCATCCTTTTCTTGTTGTTGGTTACAATCAGTTGACATTAGTAACTAATTCGTTGTGTTTTTTTTAAAGAAAAAAAAAGAGAAAAAAAACGTAAATTAAACTAATGAACAGAAGTATAAAAATGTGAATGTACTTGCATTTCAGATGTGTTGATGTTCACTCCGGGATTCGAACCCAGTACTGTTCACTTCAAATGCCATTGCGTTATTTACTTAACTACTGTGTGTTGATAGATACTTTCTTGTACAATAGGGTGAAGTTTAAATTCATTTGGTATTTTTTTACTTGAATTTTCTCACTGCGATTGATCAGTCTATTATTGGTATATGTGCATACTGAGCGAATTGTCTCGATATTGTCTTTGCTTATAAAGCTTGTGACTTAAGGCAACATTGAGGCAATCCGCACAGTATGTTCATATGCCAACAAGATCAATTGCAATCCTAAATAACAATGGAAAGATACAAGCAAACAACACCCCATTGCAAAAGCATATGGCTATCAGGACTCAGTAGTTAAGTGGATAATACAATGGCGTTTGAAGCGAATGGTACTGGGTTCGAGTTTCAGGGTGAATATCAACAAGTCTGAGATGCAGATACATTCGGCTGAGGAATTCCAAATGAAACGAAATGTGTGTCCTAAATTCCACTGCTAGTCACCATCTATTTTTAGTTATTTCTATAAATAGTTATTTGATAATTTAAAATGTAACTCATTTCTTTATATAAAAGTTCATTGAATAAAATGTTGATTGTAGAATGTAACATAAATTACTTAGTAATCTGCATCTGATCCTCCTTATTCATCGATGATGCTTTCCAGGTATGCGGAAGATTCCACATCTTCCAAAGTTTCACCATCAAGTGTGTTTGGGTTGGTGTTCTCCATGTTGTATTTGAAGGTCTTACTTTTATCTTTGTGTATGTTGAGGCCTACTGATGCCGAGGCTGCTGCTACGCTAGTTATCCTCATCTCTATTTGTTCATGTGTATGAGATAGGAGGGCTAGGTCATCTGCGAAGTCCAAATCATCTAATTGATTCTGATCTGTTCACTGTACTTTGAGCTTCCACTCAGACGTCGAGGTTTTCATAATCCAGTTAACCACCACTACAATAAAACAATATTTCATCTCGTATTTGTTTTTCTTACTCGGTTTCCTACTATTTAATATCCAAACTCCTATAGTAATGTTTCTCTTAGCAACAATCGTGCGTTGTAAGTAATTTGCAATGTTTTCATGACAGAATGTATTATTGATGCTACAGATAGTCAACATACTCTTCTAGATCTGTTCTAAACGACTTATATGTTACAATCGTAATCATGATTACCTC